TTTGTTATCAACAAAGGTCAATTTAAACGTTTGATATTTTATCATTTATTACTAAAAATACGAGAAGGGGAAGAAATTAGTGAAATCTGTGTTATGATATCTCGACTCTTTTTTCAGAAATCAGTTTCAAAATATTATTCATAAAATACAGATTTATATTGAGAAGCTTTTTCTGCCCCAATTTTATTTTCTGCGATTAAATTAGAGTATACAGAATCCAAAATATAGAGTTGTTAATACGACTTTTCTGGCAGTTTTTTTACATAGACAGGAAGCAGTTAATTATTAAGTTGTCAAAATGTTTTGATTCAACTATTAAATTGAATTGCTCTCCATATAGTTATGCAGGTTTGAGTTTATTTCTTTATAAACCCAAGAGTTTACCTTGTAAATCAATAAACCAACCTAATTCAACACACTAACCGTTAAACAAATAACGGTTAAATACGTAAGTAGCATGTATATTGTGCCATGTGACTTAAGTTCAACGCGTGTATCCCTCGACACTAATATAACGAATTTACCTCAGCAACACGAACGATCTTTCGCGGTAAACCGCGAGAGCGCGTTCAATTGCAAGACGTATCCAAGAGAAAAAAACCGTAAAGGTACACGAGAGTGCAAGTAACGCACTCTCAAATACGCAACCGCCAAATGACTCAATATAGAGACGTCGAGACCGTTACAGGTACGCGTCGATACGACCACAAGGGGATAAAAGGGGTGGGCGGCAATCGGCCGATCGCAAAAAGCCGCGAAACAAAAACCAATCGGTCGTTTGACAGGCGTAAAGCTCGCCGGGACACGAAGTCATATGTCACGGAGAGATCCGGTGTGCCCAATTGCGATTTGTTAAGTTCAAGGGGATTACATCGGTTTCTACCATATGTAATTACATCAAAAATTAATTTCATTATTTATAACACTTAGAAATTAAGGTTTATCATCATTTGCTATTAATAGTTTGATTAAAATTTTTGTATGTTACATGATTTAATACCATCAGAAATTGCTTTCTAAAATTAGAATAGAAAGATTTTATAAAGTTTTTCTATAAAAAGTTTCTTAGCTAAAATAACAATAACTTTTGAAAACGCTCTCATCATCTTTAAGATCTTTATTTTATCATTTATGATAGGTGGTGTTGTGAAATTAAATTCTTCAACTTCAGTATGGTACCGTTCGAATAAAAGCAACAAAAATATTTCGATGGAAGATGGACTAGAGAAATTATCTCCTACTCAGCGAACTTATTTCCATAACTTAATAGAATATAAGCCCATTTTAGAAATCATGTTGCAAATTTTGTTATTTCCTGTCCGAAATTGCCTAACTGGTCGCATCTATTTAAGGATTTTATGGACTGGAGAACCGTGTGACTATTTCAAGAAGTTTAGATAATGAAAAGTTCGCATTCATCATTTTTTTTTATTACATAAGTCAATGTTATTTTTTGTAATGTAGAATTAACGCATAGTTTAAAATTCCGTGCTACAACTAAATTGATGACATTTCATACAGAAATAGCATTCTCGATATTTTCAAGTACATTTATCGGTTGATTATTTGTTTGTACATCATCGTTGATACAGTCATTACCAGCATCTTCATGTCTGAACGATTCTTTATTCCTTTTATCATTGATGACGCATTAATCTGCGTCAAAAATCATATATTCTTCATTCACTATTGTTTGGAAGAATAATACATGCCCAATTTCACACTGATTACATGGAAAAAATCTGAAAATCTTAAAGCAGCAACGTAAGAACTATTTTTAACTACTTGATTCTTCTTATACAAAACTTACTTCTTGAGTTGGGAAAAATTATTTTCAATGTTAGAGAAGAACTTTACCAATGTAGTTATCAAGATGTCACCAAGTAAAAAAGGAAATTATCACTTCTAAGAAGGTGAAAAATTAAAAATCATAAATAATATGAATTTTCTTCTCATTTAATACATTGAGCACCGGATAGCATCAACGTTATTTTGCTGAAAGCACGAGTACATTGTGTTTTCTGTCATTTGACAATGGAGCTGTTGGTATTGTAGTGGTAATTTCGCTCTTTTCTTCTTAACATGCTCTTTCTACCTGCGTCCACAATCATGCCAGGGTACTTGGTATCGTTCTCATATAGGACAATGGTGCCATTAATATCTAAATGATTCTTAATTTTATCTCTCTGATATGTCCCTAGTAGGTATATAGCAGATACAGCAGATACTAAATCTAAATTAATAATGTAGGATCAGGTTATTAGTTTCTATTATTGATCTCTGGCTTTTGAGCAATAGTTTTTGAAAATGTTTTGACACTTAGTAATTGTGAAATCGGGCTGTAAGATTTAACAACATTAAGTTGCTTTCATAGCTTTGGCAACATAATAACTATTCGTTTATGACTCTCCGGGCCGCGATCAGGCGGTAAATCAGCATGCTATACTTTTTCTAGGCAGATAATTTAGGATTTCTCTTATGACCTGGTTGAATCCTTCAGCTTTTATTGGATTTAGGATAGTTTCTATCTTATTTGCCATTCCTTAGCAATAAACGGTGACAGTTTCGTTTCTTCGGTTTATATCATTGGTGATTTCTTAATTGTTTTGCATTGGGATAGGAGTAAAGATCTCAGCTGTTCAACAAACAACCCTGATAATTAAGCACTTGGGCACGTCTTTAGATTTATAGCAGTTTGTAGTTAGATGGTCTGCGCATTTTACGCAAACTGCCGGTCTTCTGCAGAGTCTCACTGTGTAGCCATGCCTTTGGCATCCACTATATTGTGGAATGATCAAAATGGTAAAAAAAGATATTGGGAAGGTAACTGTATCATCTTCGACATCTTTAGTTCGATGGGATACATAAAGATAATGTTTATCTTTTTTGAGCAAGAATAAGGTCAAATTGAGGTTAGAAGATACACAAGGGTTGACCATTCGGGTTATTTGCTGAACGTCATGTTTTGAAAAGTTCATACAATTCAGGTATGCTTCTCCAGCTCGATTCTTAATACATCCTACAACTTGAATTTCTACAACAATGGCTTTCATTTTTAGCATGCAGTCAAAAAATCTTCTGAAAAAGTATTCTTCAAAATCAGTAAGAGTTTGGTTAGTTTTATTTTTAGTTACTAGCTCACAAATAACCCAATGAACAACTATATTGAATTATAATTTATAACTGAACTGTTCATGGCTTAATAAATACTGTATTTCAATTGAACTGTAATTCAAATAACATGGAATAGTTTTAAATATTATTGTCGTTTAACCATAAATTTCTCTTTTCTAAATTTCAGTGGTTTATTAGTGATGCAATGATTAAACATGATATGTTTTAAGTTCACTCTAACTAAATGTGTCAACTTACGTTGGTTTCGGTAACAAGTGTCGTTTTATTTCCGTTTCATTTTCACTCTTGTTTAAGTCTATCACTCTCAAATTCTTTGCTATATTTATTTATGACCTCATTCGTTGGACCTTCTTTTTGAATATCTGAATAATGTATATACCAATTATTTTCCATTTCTTGGATATGGTTTATAATTGCGATATTGTTTTCGCCATACCAGTCCTAAATTGATTTGTTTATCTAATATTGAAGTAGTCCAATTATAGTAGTTAAAAACTTGGACTCTAAATCATTGTTGGTCTTCTTCTTCTTCTTCCTCTCTAGACCGTTGGGTCTATTATTCCTGCTAATGCCTGCCTCTGAGATATCTCCTGAAATGTTGACTGCCAACTGTCTCTCCATCTTTTTAGTGGTCTGCCTGGTGGTGTGCTTCTATACGTTCTATTTGAAGCCCAATTTTCGGCAGACTATTGTGTAACATTCTTCGGACAAGGTTGTGCCAAAATCTCTTGCGCTGTCTACTCCATCTCATAATGTTCAGAACCCCGCATTGGTCTCTGATATCGGAGTTTTTAGTTCTGTTTCATATGGCCTTTTCTGAGATTGACCGGTACTCTTAGTTATATTTGTGATTTCGCATAGTTTAATGCCGTAAGTCATTATTAGAAACACAGAGTTTGCACACTTTACTATCCGTACGCATTAATTTTCGCTCAAGCGAATATTGTATTTCGTAGGCAGTCTGAAATTACGCTCAGTTATCAGGTCCTTTGCGAGATCGTGAGTGCTTGTTGACTACCAACTTACATCTTGTTGGCTCCTTGCTACCCACTACGCATTTAGTTTTTGAAGTAGAGACAACCATGTTCAGACCTTCGCTTGCTTAATAGAAGAAGTCGTGTAGTTTTCTTTGCAGGTGATTTTCTGAGTTGGTGATCGCAGCGCTGTCAGCACAGTATATTATGCAGATTTTCTTTTAATTCATTTTACAGCCTTAGTTTACTTTTACGTTTTATAGTTGTCACTTTCTCGATTATGTGCATTATTACATTGAATAAAAATGGGTTAATACTATCGCTTTGTCAGATGCCACCTGCTATGGGGATGTCTTCGGTTAGTTCTTCTCTGGCCCTTACTTAAGTCATGCTGTTAGTGTCAAATCTGTGTATGATGTTCATGATGTCAGTTTGTGCACCTCTTTGAATCAGCAGGTTCAATACGTCTTCCAATCGCACTCTCAAACGGTTTGAACAAATTAATACGGCACACACAGGTATACAGGTGTGTTGCACTCAATGAATTTTTCTGAAGCCTTGTTGTTCTTCGACATTTGAAATAAGCTTATTTTTCATTACACAGTCAATATTAGAATTTTCTCCCTTCATGTAAGTATAAACCGAATTATATTGTTTATAGGTGGAATTCTTATATATTAACTATAGCTGATGAACTTTTGTGATTTGTTGGTGTCAAAGTTAACAAATACATTAAAATATAATACTCTCAAATTTGTTTTTGAACATTTGTTCTATTATTTGCAACAATTTTTCGGTAAAGAATTACTTCATATCAGCAAATTTTAAAATAATTAGTGCATTCTTATTAAATAACATGAAAGATAACAATTCAAATGCATATCTACAAATAGGCAAACCAATGACGTGAAGTGTTACATTGTTAGAACATGAGAACGATCAGTTAACGTTAGTAATGTGGCTACGTTTCGGTCAATGTGATAGTGTTATAATAGAAATAAATCAATAGCCGCTCCGGAAATAACAAGGTACGTTCTATATATCTATGTGAATACATAATTTTCTGAACCACATAGGAAGTAATCTGAAGTAAACAAGTTTTCGTTATCGCGACCTACTTATACATAAAATACGTTATCGTGGTTTCTGCTGACATCTATCGGATATTCGTGAAATTTTTATTATAGATATCTATCTATTTAAAAAAAAAATTTTAAGAAAAAAATCGAAATTTAAATAAATAGTGTTCATTTTTAGTTTGTTTTAATTTTATATAAGACAGGTAAGAAAGTAATTAATAAAAAAAGTACTAATAACTTTTTATTGTAGTTTCTTTTAATAAATCAAATTGGTTTCTTTTCTTGATGTGGTAAAATCGAAAACGATTTTCGAATTCGTCGAATGAATATACGTCTTCAATTGGTCCAACCCAAAAACCGTTCGGTGAGAAACGATTAAAGTGCTTCGGATACACACGATTCGATTGAGAGGTTTTTTTCGCTTCCCTTCGTCCTCGTTCTTCTTCTTCTGGTTAACGGTATTTCGCCGAATGAGGCACGTCTTCGAGGGCAGCACGTTAAAAGAACACCGTATGAGAGCGAATCATGGATCCAGACCACGGATGAAACCAAACTCTCCGAGTCTCCATAGACAGATCGTAGTACAGGACGACGTAACTTCTTCGTACATACGTGCCGTGTAATCCATATTTTGGGACGTGACTCCCGCTGACATGTGACCCGTACAGAACAGCCTCTCTTTACTCATCCCTGCTATATTCCTCTAACTCGAGTTCCTACCGTACCCAAACAGGAGTGGATTACAAAATTTGTTTTTAAAATTGTTTCAAAATGCTCATTATAACAATATTTTTTTAAAAATTTGTTGTGGTTTAACGTCTTCCTGTTCTATTTCGTCTAACAATGAAGACAATCAAAACTTGTTTTTATCATAGTGAAAAATAAGAATTCTTAATCTATTTACACACCATAAGTCTATTTTCTTCGATAAGAAATGAAACAAATAGACTTGAAGCTCAAAAACAATGCTTCTCGGCCGCAAGTAAGATAGTAATTTCCTGCTGGAGTTTCTATATAAGCCTTCTTTTTACCACGAGGATTCATACTTGGTGTTCACCGTGCGTGTAGTACAACAGAACAAAAGGTAAGCTTTTCATATATTTGCATGTTAAATTCAGTTTGTTTATCGAGCTTTCGCAATACGCGGTACGGTCCTGTACAAGGAAGCCGGAATAATTATGTCTATGGAAGACGTATACGCGCCGTTTTGAATACAACATGCTTGGGTATGCCATGATCGGGATTTTTTTTTCGGTTACCGATGGCGTATTCACGATGTTACCCATTTTGTCAATTACCTCTCTTTATATATCCCCCATACCTGACTGACCGTTTTCTTTGTTTTCTTTTTTCTTATTACTTTATTTTATTTTTATTTCTTTGGTTAGTGTAAGAAATAACAAGTCGATTCGAGTTGGAAAACAATGTAAGCAAAATTCCTTCTTATACAATCCTTATCCAATTCCGCGCATATTTCAATCCGAAACCCGATACGTACGCGTTCTGGACGATCATTCGGGCTGCTAGAGAACGTAGGGCTCGGTCGATAGATGAAAATCTTAATTAAAAGTATAAATCACGTGGAGAGATCGTAATTTATGTGAGAAGTAACGTGAGACATATTGCAAACCCATAAGTTTTAATGCGTATACATACATCGATTTAAACTTCTTCAGAAATTACCTTAACATTACACCCTATATTTATAAAATTTATTATGGTTTCTTAGATTAGTATGATTGTTAGATTTTTGAAAATGAATATAAATCTGATTTTAACGAGATTCTTTATAAGATGGTTTATGAGCTTTAAAAGCCGTTGGGGACATGTTAAAGAAATGCCGGTTTAAGTCCGTATTGGTAAAGTTGAAGCTGGGGATCTGATCCCAAGAGCGGTGGTAAGTAATGAACGCGTTCATATTTGGTGAAAAATACGTGCCGCGGGGTATAAAACGTAATAAATCGGCGGACAAATCGGCGCGTAACGGTACAATTGAAATAAATTTAAACGCGAACGGGCATTGTATCTGGAATCGTGTACCCGGGAATGGGAAATTAATTCAGAAAGCACGGTGCTGCAGTCGGTCGCGACCGTTTCCGAGTCTGTAACTCAAATTATCGCTAGATCTGACAGGGACAACACCTGCCCGGGTATTCCACGAGCGGGTGCGATATTACACCCGATTCTCACCGGTTATTGTAACTGTGCGAGCTGCTCTCTACACAGACTTCTTCTTCCCTCTTCTTCTTAACTTACACTCCGTGCCTGGCTGCTGCTCCTCTGCTCTTCGTGCTCGCATGCAACCACCTCTTTGTGTAGTGCGCCTCTTTTCGTCGTTGCTCGCGCGGCGAACCTTCGCGTTTAATTAAGATTTTCGATTGATTCGCGAAAACGGGTTCTCTCGGTTTGACCTCTGCCAACATAAACGACCCAAACGTGTACCGGTAGACAATGGGATTTGTGAGTGATCTTTACCGGTCAGGTATAATGGTGAGCTCTTGCTCGCACGACACGCTCTCACCTGTTGTTACAAATCGTCAATTGATTAAGTTTTACCTCCACTTTAAATCTATGTCACTTGATCTCGACAATCTCTCTTCATCTACTTAACATAATACAACCTTTACTAATGAGGAAAAGAGAATATCTCGATTTCTAAACGATTTTACGAACTACAAGAATATCTAGCATTTTAGTAAATAACTGGTTAAATTACTTAATTCCGTTTTTCATCCATTTCGTCAAATGCTTATACAAATACTTACTTATAGATAACTTACCGTCGAGACGATAGCAACAAACCGCTCAGTAACAAACTTTTTCCCTTATATTTCCACCTATTTCTCAGGCCCATATCTTCGTTATCTAGAAAGATAGCGAAAAACTAAGCACACGGTTGGAAAGCTTCGTCTTTTCTCTATCTTAAACCGAGTTTTCGTCCGATATGTTGATAATGAGAGCAAAAAAAATTAGAAACGTCGCACTGCATTCAAATTACCTCAAATTGCCCCACTTTAAGGCCTTGTGCAGCCGTTATCAGAAGGAAATTCAACAAATGGTTTACATATTCGAAAAGAGCTAACCTTGGCCTATCTGATTTCGAGTTTTCGTTCGTCAATATTAGTGATGTAAAAAAAGTAACTATTCGTTACACGAGTACTCGTTACTAAGCGAGATCCGAAGTAAGTGTTACCGTATCACATCGGTACCAGTTACTTTGGATCTAACAGTTACTTTTTCCAAAGCTTGCCAAGTATTGTCGGATAGGCGAAATCGACTTAAAAGTCGAAATGTCCAAAAAAATTTATTTTTACATTGCAATAATAAGTTGTAATATCTTTTATTGTTATTTAAATATTTTTGTTTTATTATTGCTTGATTTATAGAGGAAGTTTTGTTTTCCATTGTTAATTTGTTACAACTTTCAAATATTTTTGTTTTATAATAAGAGAAACGTAAGTTATTAATAATTAAATAATAATAATTAAGAAAAATTCTTTGTTATAATATGCAGTGAAAAAGTAAATCCCATAACCTACACTCTATTTTCTGATATTAGTGCACAGTGCATTACTATGCATACTACGCTACTGCGTAACAAACACAATATAACATACGTACAGTATTTGTTTTCAAAAATAAGTGTAATATAAAATAAATTCATATAAGTATGTAGTTCAACTAAAACGAGTACTCTATCGAACCTCGAGCGCAAACGAGTACTCAAACCTCAAGCGCAAACGAGTACTCGAACGCAAATGCAAACGATTACTTGTAACGAGTAACGAGTACAAAGTAACGAATACTTTTTCTGAAAGTAACAGATAGTTAAAATTACTAAAAAGTTACTAAACTTGACATCACTAGTCAATATCTGCCAGCGTCTGTAAAAGAAACGCACCTGAAAGACAACCTACAGGTAGCAGAACGCAATCACTTCTTACCCTAACTTTCTTATTTGACGAAGGAAAAATTGGGACAAAGTTTTACCCGAGAGAGAATCTCAATTTCATGTTGACAGATATAATTTTTCATTCACTCTTAATTTATTTAAAACTGTTAAAAACATATAACTACGAAGGCTTTCACGGCCGGTGATAATAAAACTAAAACTAGAACTAACACTAGCACTATTACTACAACTAACACTAGACCTAGAACTAGAAACTTTCGGGTTAAGCCGTTTTTTGAAAAAATATTTGACGTTTCAGATGCCATGTTGTAACCTTCCTCAGAAAACAAGTTCGAAGCGAACCTGAAAGTTTCTAGTTCTAGGTCTAGTGTTAGTTCTAGTGATAGTGCTTGTATTAGTTCTAGTTTTTGTTTTACGTTTAGTAACATGTTAAACTGTTCAAAACGGAAAGATTATTTCATGTTACATCTATTTTATCCGAATATGGAAAATTTTGAGCGATTTTAGATTCGAATTGTTGAATTGTGTTTTGATGGTTTTGAATCTGGTAACGTTACCAACCTTTGCATTTTAACTCACTTTATCAATTTAAAAAACGCGTAAGCGAAGTGCCCTTTTTTATGGGCTTCATGGGATTGCATTGATTCATACTTGACCTCCCTTTGAAGATTATCATGGATTCATCCACAGCCAAGTGCCTAGTCGAATGATAATAACTGTAGAACTGACGGTTAAGTGTTTCAAAATACGGACGGATCTTATTTATCCGTATTGTTCTTAGAATAATTCTTCTTGGGCCCTTTGTCACGTATTTCTACTACTTCAGTGTTACTTTCCAGCATACGTACCTCACTAGCATTAGTAATAACAATGTCATCTGCTATGTCTGTCTGTTATCCAACGGGAGATTTTCTAATTCAACACAAACTTTTTCAACCTCAACCAAAAGTTCTCCATCAGTCAAAGCTTTGGTCAAGTACCAAAACGTATCTGTATTCGCTGGGATCATTTTTGCATCAATCTCAATATTGTACCTGTTATTATCCTGACCTTACTTTTACGTAGCAAACATGAAATGTAACTTTTTTCAGGATGAAAATAAGAAATATTTGAAAATTGTAATTGCAATACATAAACACTGCTTACTTATCACACCTATTAACCATTTGTCAAAGAAATACCTCTTTTAACAACAAAATTCAGCACATCTGGATGAATAAATTTAAATATACCTAAAAACCGTACAGTGCGGATGGTAGAAAGTACCCACAGCTCTAAATCCGCCGAATAGATGACTACACTTTAAAATGAGTGTTTAAAACTACCGGTACTTTAAAGTACCGTCGGGAAAGGGTTAAAAATGATGGGGTTCCTCCATATTTATATGGCGTTGAATGCCAATCTTGTCTTGATGTAGGGATGTTTTGCGCAATTATATTCAAATAGCTAATAACAAACTTTCCCCTAGGAATAACTTTAAACGGCGTTTCAACCTTGTCGAACACACTTTATTCTATACTTCCTATCGTACCGTGGTTTTTCAAACAATTTAAATTTTGCGATACAAGAAACTTCAAATCTACAGAGTCAACGTACTTATTAGAAACAAGAAACACTATAGTTATTTATTCTATTTATTTACTCTATTTTTATGTTAGCCGCAACTATTGTTACACCAGATTTCCCATATTTCTTCTTGTGATGTCCAAAATCAAAACACATAGTAAACAAGAAATTTCAGGCCTTCTTCTCCCTACAATTGCTTCGTGTCACATACACGGGTTATAATTTAACAACTGGCCGGAGTAGAAAATTTTGTTGCAGGTTAATGTGGTAATAAAACAAGCAAAGAAAGGCTACTTCTTTCTTTATTTTTCTCCTTAGACGATTAAAGGAAATTCATAGCGTTCATTTAATTCAGATGTAATTTTGACACAAGTCAAAAAGGCATTTGGCTTAGGGAACCATTTTAAAAAATGTTTGGATAAAATTTACCATCTATACTTCTCGAATCTACATGCAGTAAGTGGCATTCTGCAAGCGATATATATCGTCTTCTATCATTTAGTTTTTGCTTACACTACCGAATTCGTTTTTATTTCAAACAGAATAAAAGCTTGTATTAGCATTATCTAGTCAGCTATTGGTAATAACTATCCTTTCATTACAGGTATCTATCTTCTATTAGCATAATTCAGTCTTCTACCAGCAGCTTTAGTCTTGCGCAAGCAATATTTAGTGTTCCATAAGCAGTACTTTGCTCATAAGGAAACGTACATATTGTTATAGTAGGTTAGGCTACTATAACATGCAGAAAATAATTTAATTATGACAACTTTTTACGAGGATAAATAATTTTATTACACAGTACCTAGTAGTCTACATACAGTTAGTTCTGACATCAGCATCAGGATTTCTATAAGCTATATGTAGTTTTTGAAAGCTCTACAGTCTTTTATTAGAAATATCCATCAGCTGGTTAGCTTTCTAGTCTACCATTAGCATTAGCTAGTCTTCCATTAGCAGCATATAGTCTCATATTAGCAATATCGAGTTCTCTGTCAAAATATTTAGTCTTCTGCAAGTAGTATCTAGTCTTCTGAAAGCACTATAGTCTTCTGTTAGCAGTATCTGGTCATCTATTGGCAGTATCTAGTCTTCAATTAACAGTATATAGTCTTCTATTAACGGTATCTAGCCTTCCATTAACAGTATATAGTTTTCCATTAACAGTATCTAGTCTTCCATTAACAGTATCTAGTCTTCCATCAGCAGCATGTAGTCTACATCCCAAATTTTTCCTATTTTTGAAATTATTAGAAGATTCGCCATGTTGCTGAGGTTGTTCAGCACGTAAACAACTGTGACAATAAGATTGAAGCTTGGAGACCATCAGGAACTGTTATTCTAATGTAGAAGTTTATTGATACTTTAAAAATGTTCTACCACGTAATATTTTTTAAGTTTTTAAGGTTATAGTAAGCAATCTAAAGTTTATTCACTGGATGGCAAGATAATAAATGCTAAATAGACTTTATAATCTAGTACATGTTGAAACACACATGATTATCTCTCACGCAAATGATTTTTGTTCGCATGGTGAGATATGGGACTAAAGACTAATTTTGAGAATTCCCAACTCTTGATTTTAGACCACAAATTCATACATTTTTATTGGGTGGCTGCTTTAAGTATTCAATATGTTTTTACTTTCTCATATACGAAGCATATGATGAGAATCATACAAGAATTAGACCCCGAAATTTTGATGGATGTATTAACTATCCTTGAAGAAGGTTTGAACGAAGATGAATTTGAATTCAGTAGCAAGCGGGTTAAGATTTTCAGTTCAAATTCTGATTATTGATCTAACATTCCATAAACAATTTCAGGTTGTAATGAAAATGGATTCATAGTATCTAACCCAAGAGGTGTATAGTAAAAACACCGATTTGGGACAAAATTCGAAGTTGACAATGATGGCTTACTTAGATTGTGAGTTTCTGTTGGTTCCCATTGTTTACCTTTAGATTCTTAGACATTAGACATACAAACTATTTGATATAAGATATGTACGACTTTCCGTTGCAATTCAGGAATTCCAGAAAAATATTTATTATTCAGATTTTATTACAATTTTTTTCAAAAGTACGTCTTAGTTTCGTAATTTCAACAATGAAAATTCTTCTATTTAAAATAATGACCGTCGGCATTTTCAACATACATACTCGTATATATTCATATAGCGCTCATCGATTGTGAGAGAGGACGCCGCTCACCACCGGCTATCGGTTACGATGATTGATCAACACAGATAACATCAGCATTGAGTGATGGCCTCGTAGATTCCTCGAGACCCGGCGTCCTAATCAATTTCTCCGACGTCTCTCAGGCCGTCAGCTTCGTGGAACAAGAAATCGAACTAATGGATTACTATCGCTGCACGTGGTTTAATAAACTTTTATTGTGGACTCATCTACACCTACCTACCATCGTCTGCTTTTGCTGCTAACCGTGTTCGTTCGTTCCATTATCTTTGCCGTTGTACGAAGACTTAACATCTTCGTATATCTTGTAACTAAACGATTACCCCCTATGGAAAACTATACAAACCAGTAGCTAAATCTTTTTTTTTGTATTCATTCGTTTTCAAGATCTTTGAACATTCTAATTTAAAGTGAATGTCTTGATGATAATGTAATAATCATCTAAAATATTGCATCAATTTATTATGGCAGAAACAGCTCATACAGACTGTAAAGATTCTTAATGTTTCCTTTTTTGAAACGGAGCACGTAGATCACGCTTCCTATTATACTCTGGAGGCGCGTTCCCTTTGTCGCTATTAAATCCAGCCCGAAGGTTGGCGTCCGTTATTGATTCCGGCACGATTAATCGGTAACACGATGTCCATGTACGTTAATTACATTGAAACCGATATACAGGACGATCAATCTTCGACTAAAACACAAAGGATCGCCCCGTTACCATTAAGAATCAACTCTGACAGACGAACGGTGCCACTGAAAACGTTCGATTAGTCCCCATCGGCTACTTCGACCTTCCTACTTCAGTAGCATTCAATAATTTTATTGTTAACTTTAAAAAGAATGATTATCCTTTCAGAATCCTTTCGAAAGGAAATTTTCGTATTCTTTCATAATCGTTTCACAATTTGTTTTATACGCCCGATCAAACCAGAAACGTAAACGTCATGTACAGAGAGTGTAGAAAACAAACGTCCCTTCGCAACAATACGTATAAAAGTGTAATAAATAACCTCCAACATTTTTATTTCAAACCTCGCAAATCCAATAACTCTCAGATACTAGTAATAACTCCTTTATAACTCCTTTATCTACCATCTGACCTCTATAAATCACACGAATGATACTAAATTACGACTTTTTTACGTTCGCTGACCGCAGAACAACCAAGATCTTTTAAGTAACCGGATTTGATGGTTTTATAGAAATTCAATTGAAACTTCATATCACCTTTGAATCATTATTTAAGCTTTCCTTGAAGATATAACTAAAGTACTTCGAGTTAGTAAATTAAATTATCGAAGATATTCAAGTTTCTATTAAAACCTTTAATCAATATCGAATGTTAGGATTTACCAGCTTAATCGAATGAAAAAAGAAAGAAAATTTGCATTACATATAATTCTAAGTGTAATATTTCTTGTTTTGGTCTTATTGATGGTGTTATGTCAACGTAAAGAGAGTTTAACTGTTTTGTCAAAAGTCAAAAATCCTGACAGATCTGTTGAGAAAAAGTTATTATGTAACGCAGAGCTTCAAAATCGACACATTCTCAGTTATTGTTTGGTGCTCCCCAACATTCATTATGGTTATATGCTGTATGGTCTACATAATCATTTATGACAGCTTAGATGCTCAATTAAACTCCAGCATACGAACAATCACTGGCTGATTAAAGATTACTTGTATACTCTGGCTTTCTGCGCTGAGACCATTCCACTGCAAAGTTGAGAAGATAGGACGCTTTGGCCCGAGAATACCAAAAATATTGACGATGGACAACTCCCAATCCACAACAACAACCAAGCAATCTCATCCACCAGGCTCAAATCTAGACACTCTGCGATAAGGACAGCTAAGACTCTACACAATAAGAACTTTAACTTAGAACTGGGTCGTTGCATCTGGAAAATCGCTAACAAGATTCGAACAAGGCATGGTTTATGCAGAGACTCACTATGTTCCAGAAATGGAACAAAGCCTGGACACTACGTGTGATTGTGGTAGAGAAATCTAGACCATTGAACATATTGTCCAAAACTGCGAAATATCGGCAGATTGGTTGACTTTTTCAATCTGCTGCTAGATGGTTTGATATATTTTCAACAGTTTTCTAGCTGAGTTTAGTTCTGCAGAAGGGTTATCTTGTGATAACAGTTTTTAAGCAATATTTGGCAAAATCGAATTGAAAGACATTTGGAGTTCAATAAAAGACTAACATTAATTATTAATTAATGTTAATAAAGTAAAAAAAAAAAAAATATTGAAGATATGCAAGTTTATCTCTTACTACTCATCTTTTTACTTAGGTCTCTAAAAATAACATCTTTTCAAATAATTTCATTTATATCAAATAACGTGTTTTGAAATAAAACAACAAATTATTGCGTTTAAATAGACACGAACCTTCTCAATTTAGAAGAAGATGTGCCACATTTGAAAGCACGACGTGATCAATTCGATTCATTTAAACTACTGAAACTTACTATTTAAAAACAATTACTCATACACGATTTTATTGCAATGAAAGAAATGCGCAACATTTTACAAATTGTTTAATATCACGCGAATCGTCTGTAAGCACGTAAAGAACTTCTCATATCTTAGAATTTCTTGAAAACTATAATTATACAATTAAGGTTGGAACAGAAACATATAAATAGTATTTGAATCAATCATTTTGGACTTATTTAATAGAATCCTAACCATGAAAGTAGCTGTGATTGGAGCGGGTCCATCCGGTTTGGCGAGTGCCAGATATGCGAGAGCAAACGGTTTTGATTGTACCGTTTTCGAGCAGACAGGAAGAGTCGGTGGTGTTTGGAATTACAATGAACGTGTGGGAGTGGATGAGGAAGGTGTTCGTCTTCACAGTGTCATGTACAAAGATCTTGTGTACGTAAACACATCTACAAAAGCACTTTAAATATAGTTTCGATTTTTTTAGAACTAATCAGCCGAAGGAGATTATGAGTTATCCCGGATATCCTTATCCGAAACAAATTCAATCTTATTTACCCCAACCTAAAGTTACTGAATATATTAAGGGGTTTGTGCAACAATTTAACATTTTACCAAGTGTTAAGGTAATTAATTAATATTTATTATAAAAAATCATTGAGATAAATTAATTTTAGTTTTATAAACGTGTTGTTTTGGTGGAACCCATTGAAAATAACCGTTGGAAGCTCACTGTTGAAGACATAAAAAGTAAAGTACAAGAAATCTTGGAATTTGATGCAGTTATGGTGTGTGTTGGAAGTAATTTCAAAATTTTTATGCCGGATATTGTCGGAATTGATACTTTCACCGGGAATATTATTCATAGCAATATTTATCGCACTCCCGATGAATATAAAGGGCAAAACGTTTTAGTAATCGGAGCTGGATCTTCTGGAACTGATATAGCAGCAAAAATTGCTGCTGTTGCTAATAAAGTATTTACAAAATTTAATAAAGTTCATCCTTTTATATGTCGGATTTTAGGTTGTTCTTAGCCACAAATTTAATATGCCTATTAAAACATCATCCCAAGTAATCCAAAAGAATGTGGTTAAAAGATTCGTGGGAAAAAACGCTGTTTTCATTGACGATTCTGTTGAGGAGTTCGATGCTATCGTTTGTGCAACAGGTAATATTAATTATATTGGGAATTTCATATAACTCGCAATATATGAATGCAGTAAACATAATTACGAATCTACTATGTACTTGCACTGTCCCATATAACTAATACTAACTAAACTAGAACTAACACAAGACTTAGAACTAGAAACATTCGGGTTTAGCCACACGTCTCTCAAGACGGCTAAACCCGAATGATTCTAGTTCTAGGTCTTCTGTTAGTTCTAGTGATAGTGCTAGTGCAATGCTAGAATTCTAGTATTAATGTTAGTTCTGTTAGTTACCGAGAACTAGAAACATTCGGATTTAGCTACACGTCTCTCAAGACGGCTAAACCCGAATGATTCTAGTTCTAGGTCTAGTGTTAGTTCTAGTTTTATTTCAATAAAAATATGCAACATAGTGATATCTTATGTTAACTAACCCTATCTAGTACTGTCACTATAACTAACATAAGTCCTACAACTAGAAACATTCAGACATGTTGCATTTATGTGGGACAAAGTAAGTAGGTACGCCTTGGTTTCTATGGAAATATATTGTTGTATATTGCATTTTAACTGAAATTTACTGTATTGAGATATTAATCATATAATTTATTAATCTTTTAGGATACCAATTAATTTTTCCCTTCTTATCCGAAAAATGCGACATTGTTGTTAAAAATCGTTGGATTCAATATCTCTATAAGCACATCATCAACATATCTCATCCAACCATGGGTTTCATTGGTTTTACATCTTTAGTAACTCATTTCCCAGTTTATGATTTACAGGTAATTAATAACAATAAATTTCATTATAAACCGATTTATTTTTTATTTTAGGCGAGATTCTACATTTCATATTTGTTAAACAATTTTACTATTCCATCAAAAGATGAAATGAAGCAAGACATTCTTAATGAAATGGACCGTAAGGTGAAATCAGGCGGGAGACCAAGCGAAATTCATAAATTAGGAGGAGGTCAGGAAGCGTACTGCGAAGATATCGCGACAATGGCAAAGGTTGAACCTCTACCAAAGGCCATACACAAGTTGTTCGCTAGAGTTAGAGCCGACAGAAACATTGCTGATTGTTTCGAATTTGTCGATAATGAAAATTTTATACAACTAAATTGTTAAAAAATTTCTTTTTTAAATAAATAAATTGCATGTTAAATCCTTTTTGATTTAACCCAACCACATTTAATCCATTAAGCATTAAATCCTTCACGATTTAATACTTAAGATAATTAAATCTCAATATTTGTCTTTAGATGAAAGTCGCTATAATTGGAGCTGGATTATCTGGGTTAACCAGCTTAAAACATTGTATGGCAGAAAATTACTTTGTGGATGTTTTCGAACAAACCGGTCTAATTGGAGGTGTTTGGAATTATTCAGATCAATATGGAATTGATGAAGATGGAATTCCTATACATACAGTTATGTATAAAGATTTAACGTAAGTTTAAATTTAATTCAAATTAAATAATTCAAAAATAATTTATTTCAGTACGAATTTACCGAAAGATTTAATGACTCTAAACGAATTTCCATACCCGGATCATCCACCATCTTATTTACCCCAAGAAAGAGTTCTTAAATATTTCCAAGATTACACAAAACATTTTAATTTACTACCCCACATTAAGGTACATTTTAATTTCTTAACATCTTAATTATTACATTAAATTTTTAGTTTTTTAGCCAAGTAATTAAAGTGGAACCGACTAACTCAACCAAATGGGAAATAACAATAAAAGATTTAAAAACCAAAATGATCCAAACTAAAGAATACGACGCTGTTATGGTTTGTAATGGACATTATCATTCCCCGAGATATCCAGATATTCCTGGAAAAGAAAAATTTAATGGGAAACAACTCCATAGTAGTGTGTACAGAACGCCGGATATCTTTAAAGATAAAAAAGTCCTGATTATTGGTGCCGGGGCATCTGGAGTTGATATAGCCGAAAAAGTCGAAAAGGTTGCCGAAAAAGTTATCATCAGCTTTAATAAAGAAAATTTGTTTAAGCTGTCTAAAACGTTAAACTTAAAACCTTTAGTGAAAGAAATTTATGAAGATGGGGTTATATTTGTTGATGGAACCAATGAAAATGTTGATGTTATCATTTACTGCACTGGGTATTTATATAAATTTCCATTTTTAAGTGAAAGATGTGGAATTAAAATTGATAATCGTTGGGTGAAGTACTTGTATAAAAGTGTGATCAATGTTGAATATCCTACGATGGGTTTTATTGGAATTACTTGGGAATGTTGTGTTGTTCCAGTAACAGAAACTCAAGTAAGGAAATGACTTTTTAAATTTATATTTTGATACACACAATTTTATACTTTATTTGTAATTGCCTTTTGGGTATCTATCCATCAACCACTACAAAGATAATAACTAATATAATTGCAACGAGCAATTAAAAATCGGAAATTAAATTGGAGTTCTTGCATAATAACATGACTAAAAACTATATAACAATAATTGACCAAGTGGTAGCTCCAATAACAACAAGTGGTATCGAGGCAAGATATTCAATAAGATGACTAAAGATTTAACCAGAAAAAGTTGTCTTTTGAGGTTCTGCACTGTTAGTCTGTTTGAAATGTTAATTATTTGCAATAGCATCAACTAATATTTCACTCCGTGCAATACAAAATCTAGCTATCTATTTCAAATATCAAAAGTAATGCATACAGTTAAAACTCACCTTTTATTCGAAATCTTTCTATTTGAAGGTTGCCAAATACATTCTTATGACAATCTGAAAAATATTGAGGTGCACTGATTTTATTTCATAAAATGAAAATCTGTGAAGGTATCTTCTTGGTTCAAGAAAAGCAACACATCGGGAAGAGCCAAAGGTGGAACAAAGTATAGTCTCACGAGCTGTGTCCAGTGTTATTAACAGTATTATTACAAAAAGGGATCATTGGATAAAATGTTTGACTTTCTCCTATAACCATTGAGTCCAGGGGATCCAGGGGACCATTTGAGTCCCAGGGGATAAATATGAACGGCGCAATCGCGCTGCTTGGGATTCAAACGGTTAAGGATCTAAGAAAAGCCGGAAATCAACATGATAAAGGGTATCTCAATTTACAGGACATGAAGGACATCACAAAACAATAAAAGAAGAGAAAGAGGACTACAATTAGAACTAAAACTAGAACCAACACTAGAAACTTTCAGGTTTTGCCTGAGAGGGTAGTTTTAGTTCAATTCACACCGGCCATGAAAGCCTTCGTACTTATAAGAGAAAAAGGATTGAGATAAAGTTCTAGAATATAAAATCATCACGCAAATGAACACCGCTAGCTTAACACAAAGGGTAAAAAATTCATGTATGAGGAATTTCAAAAAGACTAGAACATAAACTTCAAAACTGGTTCTAGAAGTAAGATCTCGATCATGCATACAAAAGGAGGCAGTTTTATGTGTCTTATCACTGAAAACATGTTCTTCACACAAATTGATGCAGGGTAACCTCAGAGGGCACCTCAAAATCCTCAAGTACCCATGTCTAAACCATTTGATTGAAATTAAAACGGACCTTATACCCACAGAATATAATTTCGACCAGCCGTATAAGGTCATATTTAGAAGCTGGGATGATTGAACGAAGGGTGAGCTTCAACTTCAAAGAAGAGCTCTTGCCTGGTACACTGATACCTCAAAAACAGTTGGAACCGGAGTAGGTGTGGTCGTTAATGGACCAAATAGCCGTATTAAATTGGCCGTCAGATAGAAAGGTGCGTCTATAAACATTTTCACAGATAGTGGGGCCATCCTAAAGGCAATTCAGGTCTACACATGTGACACCGCACTGATCAGAGAGTGTACCAGTAAACTGAGAGAACTCACAAAGTCATTGTGGGCTATGAAAAGGCGGACCCCATTGGACCCCAACCCAACTGTGGACTACAAAAAAGCCACGTAATTAATACATGGGAAACCTCAAAGGTAGCCTTGTGCTGGAAAACAGTTCCAGGACACAAACCAGCGAAGAGTATGATAAAAAAATAAAATGATAAAATTATGTGTCCCTAAAATACCATCTCTTCCACATTGGACAAGCTAAGGATCAAACTTGTCGACTTTGTAACGACGAATGAGTCGTGAATGAGTGTGAATGAGTCGCCAGAGAATGAGACTCAAAGAAAAGAGACTCAGGAAAAGAAGGAAGAATTTATAAACATAACCAGTGTGATGAGATGGAAAGACCACAGCTCTGTATAACGTTTAATAACAGTGAAAAAAAGTGTGCAAAAAACTAAAAACACTGTTCAACATATAAAATGCTTATGGAAATTTTGATCGAAAATACTGACCATGACTAATTCACAAACAGACCAAATACACAAAACTGGTGCAAAACAAGCTAAGGGTAAAATAAGGGTAGAGAACATCGATACACAACATCCACAACGTCATAGCTGAATAGTTGACAAATAAAAGCACTAGGAAGTTCAACAGTCATATTTGAACTACTCAAAGTAGTGGAAGAAAAGAACTTCGACATTGTCTCAATACAAGAATTCTAAACTGTGTCAGGAAGATTTCTGGGAGTTTGTGAAAAAAATTCATAATTAATAACGGTGGACTTCAACACGACCTTGATGAGTCTGTATCGGACTTCTATCAAAAGATATCTTTGAAAGATCATAAACTAGCTATATCAATTAGAAAATGACATACATCTCCATATAAACAAAATAAGAGAAGATTTATGGTAACTCTATAAAAAAAACTGCAAAATTAATGAAAAAGGTGAAGAATTCGAAACACTCATACAGGAACTTACCACGTAACAAGAAAGAATAGATGCATTGTCAAACATTGATGTTACAGTGACAAAGGCTGAACCATTTATTGATGGGTCACGGTCTGTATCCGATGAAAGAAGAAATCTATTGACCAATATATCAACTACAAGAACTATATTTACAGGGTTAATGTTTGAATCTTTCTCATTTCTTCATGTACTCAAGGATTAGATTGCCCTCAGGGAAGCATATATGCATAAAGATGGATCGTGTTATCAACAATGCTCAAATGACAACGTATGCGGTTTGAACGAGAAATGCTTTTAAAGGACACTATATTTTAACGAACAACAAAAGGACAGAAGGGGTAGACACGGAAAAAGTGAGTAGGTGTTCAAATTAAAAAATTGAGACTGTTGATTTGGCAAAAGAAAGTGAAATGTCTGGCAGAAGAATTAATTAATGCATGTACTCGCATCTCACATCCCTCAGAGGAGCAAATATAAAAAGATGAGCAATGAAACAGAAATTTTTATGGCAAAGACAGAAAACGAGGTAGAGAAATGTTTAAATAAAAGAAACAGTGGAAAGAAAATAAGCCACACATTAATTAACGGGATATCTTATATTTTAATTTCTTTTATGTTTAATATTTCATATTTTTATTTAAATGTTATTTGCTTTAGTTCACAGACGATAATTTTGGGTTGCATAAGCTACGATTTATTTTATTTTATAATTTATATTTATTAATTTATTTACATCAAAATATGTACTATTAAGTTACCCACTAAACAATTAAAAAAATTGCTTTTAGGTTCGATTTTTCGTGGCATCTTTAAAACAAACATTTCCGCTTCCAAGTAAAGAAGAAATGATGGAAGACATTAATAATCATTTAAAGTACATTAAATCACTAGGTTGGACTGAAAAAGATATGCACAGATGTGGCGTGGACCAAGGAAGATATTTCGACGACGTAACTTCGACTGCACGGATTGAAAAAGTTCCATCTGTTCTTCATAAACTTTATTTGCAAGTTAGAAAAGATCGTTCGAATCGCAAAGTTTATTATAAAGTCATTGATGATGATAATTTTATACAAACACAATTATTATAAAAAAACATTTTCTTGCATTAAAAAAATATTCATCACCAAATTTTTTTATTTTATCTTTCATTAATTTTAACCCATTAATCAAAAACCTTTTAAATAAAAATTTAATTTACACCTGAAATGATTGGTTAATAGAGCCCCCTTGAAAATTAATAGCCCAAAAATGAGGTTTCAATTTCGTATTAAATAGCTCCTCTTTTATAGGCTATCGCTTCTTATATCTTTATTTCTAAAACTTTCATAACAACTTGCCAAATACGTGCTTAAAAGAAAAGTGTACCAGAAACAAAAGCAAGACTATATTACCATTATTAATCATTGTCTGAAGTAATTAATCATTTCTGGCTTCAACTCGTATAAATCACTTTCAATTAAAAAAGGCGGTACAATTTTTAAGTTCATTGTAAATCAATCATAAAGTGGAGATTCTTAGAAACGTAGACCGATCTTAAAATCTTCAAGAATTTAAAATTAAAATTAAGCAGGAAATAAATCTATATCGATATAGTATTCAATGTTAATTATTAATGCGAGAAAATATTAATTTTTTTTTGTACGACGAAGCAGCGATACCGTATGATCGAAAACTAGAAAATTGCTTAATAAAATAGCGTGTAGTTAAATAATGTTAATGATTTGAACAAAGTTTTAGTCTGATCTTTATAACGGAAGAAAAAAGATCGCTAAAGAAACTCAAACAGCCATTATAATCACTTTTCAAAATTCAAAGTAACACCTATATCGCTACGGCGGTAATATTGATAAAGGTTCACATGTTCTCTTGTGATTATAGTCTTTAAAAACGTTTTATAAAACTGTATAATTATACGACGAGTGGCAAAGCTGTATTAATAACTCTGCAGTATCAATCAACATCCGCTAGAAGGCGATGGTGAGGATTTTGTGGATGCCATGGAATCTTCTAGTGTCTTTTTCGGATATTCAATTTCGCATGTTAATCCAAATCAGATTTCACATGGTTTTGGTGTTGGTGACATTTGGAATCGACAGACGTTTTAGTAAGCTAGACTTACGGTAGTACATATTATGTATAGGTGTTTTCTTGATCCAATTGAAGATTTTTAATTCTTCCTTCATTAAGTGATATTCTAATAATTAGCATGATTCCTGACATTTTACAACTACTACTTCCAAACTACTTCTTCAGTAATCAGTTCTAGTGCAACCATTTTGCAGACTGTTGTCTTTACTTCACATATATAGTAAGGTATTCAAGCAAAATTAGATATAACATAAAGATCCAAATCTCTTCAGTGTATCATGAAAGCTGGCTTGGTTTGGTGTGTAACTTATAAACCACGGAAACTGACCGAACATCAAGTAAATCAGATATTGCCGTCAACATCAGAATACTGCGCATTAGCGACTTCTGCATAACCCTCACTTTTTCCATCTCTTTGAAGCAAGATAAATTTCATCTTACTATGGAACACATTATCTTTTTTAAAAATCCCTTGTGTTCGTATTTGGCCAAACTTTAAACTGCCAAAAAATGTCTAGAATTGCCTACCCTCCACCATCACGGACACCAGTATCATCTAATACTTGTTAGATAAGATCCCCATTGATATTTGAAACCCGAAAAAGTATTTGAAAAAAATTCCATGGTTACGACAAATTATTATGTTTATTTGCCAAATATATAATCAAAACTTTAGTATATCGTTTTTTTCTAGAGTTATCGCGTGCCATAAAACTTCTGCATAGCCTCAAATCAACAATCATTAAAGAAGAACCAGTGATCTGTCGCGAGTTGAATCGCCCTGATTTAGATGAAAAAGTATCGTGTGTTTCCTATTAAGAAATCACAAGGATCCATTTGGTATTTAAAAGGAAGAGCAATATGATGACGAGTATAGAGAGGCGAGGTAGAAGAAAACAGATAAGCCAAACCAAATATAAGCAACTGTAATTAAAAAAAAAATACGATGTCGATGTAGAAGAAAGAAGAGAGAGGCTCTTCATCAGAAAGGTACAGGAAATTGTAAAATATCTCAACAAAAACGAGAATAGAAGATTCTTTAGGTAACTGAAAGAATGTACGAATGTTTGTAAACCTAAGATGCAACTATGGAAGGAATATACATTGAACACACTAGCTATGAAGAAATTAAAAATATAATTGGAACCATAAAAAATCACAAAGCATCAGAAAGTGATGGAATAACGTTAGAACTGCTCAAATTTGGACGGAAGTATTATGAAGGAGTATATATGAACTAATAATTTCGATATAGATCTAATTGTAAGATAAAATCCCAACAGAATAAACCCAAGGAGTCACGTTGCTTAATGTAACATATAAGATATTATCATGTGTCTTAAACAATAGATTAGTTGAGTATACCGAGGAAATTCTGGGCGAGTATCAGTCTGACTTTCTTTTTATTATATGCAACCTTCAATAGGGTTCCTATAGGGAACACCGATGAGATAAGTCACATTAATAGAGCACCTTAGCCGGTTCCACGGTTGCAGTAAGTGTTGATGGAGAGCTATCATCTACATTTAGCATTAATACTGGGGTGCGACAGGGTGATGCGTTGTCGTCTACACTGTTCAATGTAATGCTGGAAACAGACATCATAAAAGTAGCGATTATCAGTAGACGTTTGAAAGAACTGAAAGAAAACTTCATGTATTAGCCAGCGTAGCGCACAGAAGAGGGCTAGAAATAAGCGAAGAAACAACCAAATACTTACAACAACAACGGAACACAGCTCCGAACAACAATGTAGATCTGGAGTCACAACAGTTCTCCTACTTAGGTATGCAGATTACACAAAATAACTTATGTAGTAATGAAATAAGATCCCAAAACTGCTTAAATCAAGCTTTATTAGACCACTGATAACATATAGATGAGAAGCCTGGTACAACTACACATGAGCAATATCTTAAAACATTTGTACGCCAAGTTTGACGGAAAATACTTGGAGCTTTACAAATGAGGATGGGTGCTGAATGAATCACGAATTAGACCAATTGATAGACAGTCTGCTGATATTGTGAGATTCATTAAAAATAGGTCCACATACAGTCGGATGGATGGGGCACGTGATACGAATGAACGATAAGACGACAACAAGGAGAATTGAAGATTGCAGACCAGTGTACCGAAGCGAGGCAGACTGCGGAAAAGATGGAAGAATAGAAGTTAGGAGGTGGAGATGATTCTATGGTGAGAGGACAGAAAGGAGGTTCACTGGTCATTTAGCAGGCTAAAACCCACCAGGGGTTGTAACACTGGAAGAAGAAGCATTGTACATCAACGTAAGTGTTCATCTTGTATTATCACTCTATAATGAACATATTTTACTTTCGTATGATATATACCTGTACTTCGAAATTGCATATTCCAAAGATAGAGGCTGATAAGTTATTTCATGTGGATTCAATGATCAATGAAATTTTCTAAATTTAATAGCAGTTTCTCACTCATATTACCACAGTTTCAAAGAAATTTTTAATACATTGGCACATTACAGTGGATTTTGTTGTAAATGAACGAATATTAGACGAAGTAATATTAGCATATTGCTACTTGCACAATTATTATGAAGAAACCATACACATATGCATCTTTTAAGGGGCTCCGTTGATAGTAAACAGTTGAACACTGGCTTATTAATAACTGTCTAGTCAACGACATTGCATGTTGTCAGAGATGATTACTGTAAATACTTTAAAAGAAAACATTTTAAGGCAAAATAAATTCGTATTCCTTATTCTTCGTTCATTTCATTTCGTGATCTACCTGGTCTTCTAAAACTTTTTTTAGAATTATTGATCCATTTTAAACTGTTCATAAGCATCCGGATTCTCTCTATAAGTCAAAATTTTTGCTTTAGCTGTTCGCTTTATTAACTTTATAACGTTGTTATCTTTACTCTTGATATTCCACAAAGCTGATAAAGAGTGATATACTTCGATACATTCTAAAATAAATTTTCTTCCATCCTCTTTTGCTTTCGAAGTCCTGTTTATGCTTGCCCATGTTAACGTATTCACCCCCAATATGAGATAACAAGTTTCTTAGTCACCTGTTATCATCGTTTGGAAATATCAATTTTCTATGTGGAGAAAAACTGGAGGAAACATATCTGGATTAAAAGACTCCAAGTGAGACTGGTCTATAGAAGTATTGATTTATGGGAAGAAATTCATACCTAACCAAAAAAATCTGCTTGTGTATAATTTTATATTAAAGCTTATATGGATCTACAACATACAAATTTAGAGGACTGCCAGTAAAAGTCATATACTAAAACTCCAACGGTTTCAATTTAAATTGTTGCGGCAAATATGGAACGCCTGAAAAATTACCCTAATGGTTCGATCTGACAGACCGCCCCGCCCCAGTAATAAAAAAATTATATCCCGCGGTCTTTATACTATAGAAAAAAATGGAAATTGATATCGACGTATGTATCACCATGTTCTTCTTGTTGCTTTATACCTATTGCTTATTGTTACTTTAATATAACATATGGCATAAAAAAAACGTTTCAAAACTGTAAAATTTAACCTATTACATAAATCATAAAGTATTTGAACGATTTTTTGTTCTTAAAACGTTCACGATGATTTTATCGATATTACCCATTATTTAACATACACTAAACACACGCGTTGCACGTTGCAATGAATTTTAATTAAATCGACGTAAACCCGTTTTTTGAGAATTTCTTTTTATAATTCTTCTTTTATACTTCTTATAATTTTCACTACCTGAACCTATATATATTGATTAAACTTCAAAACACTCATTAGAAAGATTGTTGTGTCTTAGCCAGTCTAAGTTACTTCCACTTCAGTACATCAAGTTATTTAAACAATGTAAGTGATTTTTTCTTTATCATTGAATCATAGAATATCAACTATAATCAAAAAAAAATGTACTTATTTTCCAAATTAGGTACTTAAGATTTATAATATGAATTTGAGTTCACATCATTTTATACATTCATTTGTGTATAATATATTTGTGCATTCATATTCAATATTAAACTTTTTCCCATGTTTTTTAGATTTGTTTTACAGTTTATAGATTATGAACAATGGTCCGAAATTGGTGGACTTTTGGTTTATACGGATTAATTTGATCAATATTAATTAAAATAAATTTTTTTAATTATTGAAATTTGTACTTTCTACTGGTTTATTAATAAAAGTTCCCTTCACATGTCTTAACTATATAGTCAAGACTCGTCATCGTGATGACGACTCTTCTGAAGATAACTATATAATCGAAACATACATTTAACAAACTAGCTATGAAGAAATAAAAAATGTGTTTGGAACCTTCAAAAATCATAAAGCATCAGAAAATGATGGAATAACGTTGGAGTCTAATTTAGAGGGAAGTATTATAGAAAAGTATATATGATTTAATAATTTCGATATGGATCAATAAGACATTCTCAGAATAATGGACCAGAGGAATCACGTTGTTAAATATAATATATTAACATGTGTTTTAAACAATAAAATAGTTGAGTATACATATGAAATTCTGGGCTAATATCAGTCCGGCTTTTGCCCTAACCGCTTAACATCTGATCAAATTCGTCTTACGTTCAGATTAATAGAAGCAACCTTAACCTGTTCTAGGGTTGCAAGAAATGTTGATAGAAAACTATTATTTACATTTAGCATTGATACTGGAGTGCGTAAATGTGATACGCAGTCAACTACACTGTTCAATGTGCAGCCATCAGAAAATTAGAAACCACTGGGTATATTGGTATTAAAACATTAAAGTATGATTTTATCAGTAGCAGTGTAAGAGGACTGTAAGTAAAGTCTGTATATGGATGCGAAGCCTAGGCCTTAACAATCACAGACGAACAACTTCTTAAGACATTTGTACGAAAAGTTGTACGGAAAATATTTGGAGCTTTACAAAATGAGGATGGAATTACACTAATTAATAGACAGTGCTGATATTGTCAGGTTCATTAAAAGTAGGTCCATATCCAGTTGGATGAATGGGGCACGTGGTACGAATGAGAGAACAACAAGAATAATTGAAGGAAACCAATGGGACGAAGAACAAGGGGCAGACTGCGAAAAAGATGGAAGAATCGAAGTTAAGAGGTGGAAAAGGTCCTTTGGTGAGCAGGTTAAAACCTACCAGGGGTTGTAACACCGGAAGAAGAAGAACGATTTTCAAATAAACGAAGTTCATTTTGTATTGAATGCTCATAATGATACATCATCGGGCTTGTTGTATAATAGTGTCGGGTAGATGTACGACTCATATTAATTTGTACAAAATCCCTGTGCAAAGTGCCCATTGTCCTTCAAATAAATGTCATTAATTGCTTCTTTTACAAACAATTGTGTGCCCAACTAAAAACAATATTTTCAAATTCCCTTTGCAAATGTTTTTTGGTCTATCATAAATACTACACTGTAGCGATTTGGTGTAATTCCAGAACTAATTACACTATGTCCTGAAAAAACCTCAAATAATTGTCCAAAAATTATTCGGAGAATTATTTAAGATGAAATCAGACACATATATATATTTTAAGGGGCTGCGTTGACAACGAAAAGTTGAACACTGACAATATTGTTGATGGAACTTGGAGAGCAAGTATCCAATCAATGTCATGGATTCTACTCCAGAGATTACCAACACATGCAAAAATCGTTAGAGATGAGTACTGCAATTACTTTAAAAGAGAAAATTTTATATCAAAACACAAAACACTTCTTCAAAGTACCATAATGCAGATTCCACGATGTCATCTACTCTGCCACCACTTTTTCAAAATTATTTATTTGCTTCAAACTGCATTAACTGCTGTTCATAAGTATCCGGATATTTCTATACTATATTTCTTGTCTATACTTCAAAAGAAGCGATTTCAAAAAGCTGGTGAAGAATAATATACTTTGTACAGTGACTGCCAATAAAATTCATATACTAAAACTCCAACGTTTTCAATCTGAAGTATTGCAATAAAAAACTATATACCCACCAGACCTTATACTATAGAAAAAAATGTAACTTGATATCTACCTATGTATCACCATGTTCTTCTTGTTGTGTTATACGTATTGTTTATTGTTACTTTAATATAACATATGGCATAAAAAAACGTTGAAAGAGCTATAAAAGTTAACCTACTAAAACATAAATTATTTGAACGATTTTTTATTCTTAAAACATTCACGATGATTTTATCGATATTTCCTATTATTTGACTCACGTTGCACTTGGCAATAAATTATAATTAATTCCACGTAAAACCTTTTTTTGAGAATTTCCTTATTATTTTCATTACCTGAACAACCGGTACGATATTTGTTTAGTCAAAATTTCCCAGAAGCCAACTACGTCAGATTTTTGCAATCCATAACGTTCAATACCCTAAAGTCATTGGCGACGGCACAGCAAGAATGTTTTTATAGTTGCAAAGTATTATTATTATTATTATAAATATCAAGCCGTGACCAACCGTTGCTTTCAGAGAATCAACAAATATTCGAACTATATTTTCTGATTCGTTATTGGTTTTTTTCCTTTCTGAGGAATTTTGGATCAACAAACAAATATCGTATCGACTGTATATATATATATCGTTTGAACTTCTAAACAATCATTGTTTTCTGTTTTTTGGTTAGGCCAGTGTAAGTTACTACTGTTACTTCCACTTTGGTACATCTTATTTAAAAATCTAAGTGATTTTTTCTTCATCATTGAATCATAAATCATCATTTTGGACATTCATTTGTGTACAATGCATTTGTGCATTCATATTCAACGTTAAGCTTTTTCCATGTTTTTTAGATATGTTTTACTTAATTTTTTATCAGCAATATTATTAATTACTAAATTTATTATATCTGAAATCATTATTCCTTTATTAGTTAAAAATGACAAAACTTCGTGTTGCTATAATTGGTGCTGGATCGGCCGGTTTAGCATCAGCAAAGTACGCAAAAGAAATGGGATTAGAATGTGTAGTTTACGAACAGTGGTCCGAAATTGGTGGCCTTTGGGTTTATACGGATTATACGGATTTTGATGAATATGGATATCCAGTTCTATCAGCTATGTATCAAGGATTAACGTAACATCTATTAAAATAGCTTAGTTATTATAAATGAAGCTTTGAATTTTTTAGAACAAATTTGCCCAAGAATCTAATGGGTTTCTCTGATTTCCCAATTCCAGATGATAAAAATAGATACTTAACACACAACGAGCTTAAACTGTTTCTTCATTCTTATGCTGATCATTTTCAATTAAAGCCGTTAATAAAGGTAATGCATTCATTTGGATTATTTAATATTAAAATAAATTTATTTGTATTTCAGCTCAACACTTTTGTTAACTACATAAAACCAGATGAAAATAATAATAATAAATGGATCATTGAAACTGAATATAAATTAAATGGCGAAACAACAGTTAATATTTTCGATGCTGTTATGATATGCACCGGACATCATCACACCCCAAAAATTCCGGATATACCCGGTATAAATTCTTTTAAAGGGACGATAATTCATAGCAGAATGTACAGATCGGCCAACAATTATAAAGGAAAAGTTGTACTAGTGATTGGAGGAGGCGCTTCAGGCGTAGATATAGCCGATCAAGTATCTGCTGTTGCTAAAAATGTAAGCTTATCAACATTTCGAATATACATAAAAAATTAATTCGCTTTTTTATTATAGGTCGTTTTTAATTTCAAAAAAGTAATAAGGCAAATAGATTACAGAAATAATGTCATCGTTAAAGAAGGAAACATCGCTAAAATCAATGAATTATCGGTAACTTTTAGCGATAAATCAACAATATATATAGATTCAATCATATTATGTACAGGTAATAAATAATATTAAATTATTTGATAATCAAATTATGAATTGATTTATATTTAATTTTAGGCTACTATTACAATTACTCATTTCTTGATAAATCGTGTGGAATAACCGATGGAAACTTTGTTCAACCACTTTACAAGCATGTAATCAATATAAATAACCCAACGATGGCTTTTATCGGTGTAACAATCTATGTGTGTCCGTTTGTAACGTTCGAATTACAAGCAAGATTTTTCATAAATTGTCTCTTGGGAATTGCAAAACTTTGTTCTCAAGAAGAAATGCGAAAAGATTACAAATTAGATCTACAAATTCGTTTTCCCAATGGTTGTAACGGACGAGAATATCATAAAATACACGATCGTCAACTAGAGTATTCCTCTGAATTGGCACGCCTCGGAAATACTTTCGGAGTTTCGAAAGAGTTGATCGAGAGTTACATTAAAAATTATAAAATATTTACTAGTGTACGCGGTAGTTTTAAAGATAAATATTAATGTTAATATTTATCGTAGGTAATTATATTTAGCCGAATTTCATTAATAAATATCCAGTATTATTAAAATCCTTTTTTTACTTAATACCTAATTGAAGAAAATAATCACCAAAATCATCCATCAAAAAATAAGAATGAATATTGAAAAAATTGTGGTTTCAATCGTGAGAGATACACGGTTGCGGTAAGAAATATGCGTGTTTAACCTTTATTGAGACCAGGGTAGGGAGTTTAACATCCGCAAAGAACCTTAAGATTCGATTGTGTGGTTTATGAACAATGGTCTGAAATTGGTGGCGTTATGGCGGATGATCTTACAACGATTACACCGATTTTCGATCAATACGGTTCTCCATTTCTTAATCTCATCTTACTTTCGATTAATATCAGATGTAGGAAGTGGTTAGAAATTGTTACTATAATAAATGTAATTTCAGTTTACAGTTTAATATTCAAGATTTTTGTTATTAAGAATATTATTCGGTACGTACACGTTAATAACTTGGAAGTTTTAAGCTTGTATAAGTATTGTCGACTTTTTCTTACTAACTTAAGTTAATAATTTAACAAATTATTAACAAACACTTTCAACAAATAGCATATTACATCGCACCACGGCAAGAATAGTTGCACTATTAAAAAAATAATAAAAATAAATTTTTTATTAATTTACAGTTTTTATGCATAACTCTAAATGAATACTTTTGAGTTGTTCGCCGTTTTTCCATATGTAATAATAATATTTCTGACACATTTCTGTATTAGCAATAATAATTAGGTATAATTTTGTCGTAATAAATTATAAATAATGTAAATAATATAAATAATACACATTTTATTCAAGGTTAGTTTAGAATAATTTATTATTTCCTCGTTTATTATTTTTTTTCTTTTCGTTTCTTTTAAGGTTCAGTCTTTTATGGATCTAGTCTTTATGGTCCAATACTAAGGTTTTATGTATATAAAATATTTCCCCATCACTTTTATTTTATGAGTTATGATTGAGTTAATTTTCGAAAATCAACAATTTTGATGTTTAATCGATTTAGAGCTTATAAATAAAAAATGGTAATAATTGGGTTCAATCTTTTTATGGATCTAGTCTTTATGGTCCATTACTAAGGTTTTATGTATAAAAAGTTTTTCTCCATCGCTTTTAGTTTTTGAGTTATGATTGAGTTAATTTTCGAAAATCAACAATTTTGATGTTTAATCGATTTAGAGCTTATAAATAAAAAATGGTAATAATTGGGTTCAATCTTTTTATGGATCTAGTCTTTATGGTCCATTACTAAGGTTTTATGTATAAAAAGTTTTTCTCCATCGCTTTTAGTTTTTGAGTTATGATTGAGTTAATTTTCGAAAATCAACAATTTTGATGTTTAATCGATTTAGAGCTTATAAATAAAAAATGGTAATAATTGGGTTCAATCTTTTTATGGATCTAGTCTTTATGGTCCATTACTAAGGTTTTATGTATAAAAAGTTTTTCTCCATCGCTTTTAGTTTTTGAGTTATGATTGAGTTAATTTTCGAAAATCAACAATTTTGATGTTTAATCGATTTAGAGCTTATAAATAAAAAATGGTAATAATTGGGTTCAATCTTTTTATGGATCTAGTCTTTATGGTCCATTACTAAGGTTTTATGTATAAAAAGTTTTTCTCCATCGCTTTTAGTTTTTGAGTTATGATTGAGTTAATTTTCGAAAATCAACAATTTTGATGTTTAATCGATTTAGAGCTTATAAATAAAAAATGGTAATAATTGGGTTCAATCTTTTCATGGATCTAGTCTTTATGGTCCAATACTAAGGTTTTATGTATAAAAAGTTTTTCTCCATTGCTTTTAGTTTTTGAGTTATGATTGAGTTAATTTTCGAAAGTTAACAATGTTGACGTTTAATGGATTTAGAGCTGTGGTGTCCACTAATTTTTGATCAAAAGCGACTTTTTATATAAATGTCTTACCAAGATCGACCTAAGGGTTTAAAGTAACCTTCCTTTTTTTTGCTTTTTTTTGGCCAGATATAGATATCTCAGATTCATGATTTTCTTGGCGATCGACTCAAAAATACTTTACGATCACCAGTCGATCGCGATCGACTGGCATATAAGGTATGAAAAGGCGAAGTTCAGTGCTTAAGCACTGCTCGACTTAACCCGAACTTAAACCTAGATACTCGTACAGTAATTGAAAAACAAAAAAAATAATAAAACACAAGAAGCAAATGCGGACATAGGGTCGTACTGGTATCCATTTCAGTACTGCCATCAGTCGCAAAAATTAAGAATTTAATTGAACCATTTGTTGACCAAATAAGTCACCAAAAATATGCTTTTTAAAGGTGGAAATGCTTGCCAGTTTTATTGTTTCAGAGATTAGATTATTGTACAGTTTTACAATTTGATAATGAAAACTCCTCTTGAATAGTTCAGTGTGGTGAAACGGCGGTGATAAAGTCTCCCTGAATCTCAAATTCAAATTGTGAACATCAGTGCGGTACTGAATTTTGCAACGCCAAAAATAAATCGCTCTGAATCCGTTGTTCACCGAACTTAAGCAAACATGATCCATACACAACATCTCCAAGGTTAAATTTAGATAAAATCAACGTGTTGCAAAGTAAGGTTTTAGTTTTAACGTCAAGAAGATAACGAGAAGGGAAAGAGATTTTAACTTAGCATATACTTCTTGTATAATAGTAGACACGTGCTTTCGAAATCGCAAATTTGTATCCAAACCAGACCCAAATTGCGCACGTCCGTCACAATAGGGAGTGTAGTATCGTTGAGTACAACCCGGATATCCCCACTATACCGCTGCACATCCACCCCACGGCCAAATACCATAACCTTTAATTTGTTGGGATTGAATACCAAGCCATGTTGGGTGGCAGCTAATACAAGTTGTCTTAGCTCTATATTCAATAAGTTAAGGTAGTGTTGTTGTTCTTGCAGCTTGTAAGATATGTATACTTGTGTATCATCTGCATAAAAATGTACTTTGCTGTGCTTAAATATGTTATTTAATGGCGCTATGTAGATTGAAAACAACGCCTTGAGCTGTCGCACCGTGGATCGATGGTTCGGCAACTGCACAAACTGTTGTCGACCATTCCTGTAACTTTCAAAGAAAGAAATCGCTCAAGCGTCTAAACCGTAGTATTTAAGAATTGTTAGCAAAAGCTTATGATTTACCGTGTCAAAAGCCTTTGTGTAGTCTAACAAAATAAGAATGGTCATAAAACCGCTATCTGTCGCACTTAATATATCGTCAGTACACACTCGATAAAGCAGTAGTACAGCTATGACCTTGCCTAAAACCGGATTGAACGTTTGGCAGAATCTTGTTTACTTCGACGTGTTGCTGCAATTGTATATTAACAATTTTTTCTAAAACCATTTTTTAATAATAATAATGTTTATTCACGTAAGTAATACAGTATTATAGTGAAAAGTCAATAGCAAATACAAAAATAAATATGTAATAAAACAATAAGTATAGTAATAAAACAAATTAACTTCGTTACTCCACAAACTGATCCTGCATATAATCAGACCATACATAGTAGGCTTTCTAGACCAGATTAGACTTCACACATTTTTTGAAGTGTCCTCGTTCCATAGTTTTCATTTCTTTTGGCAACTGTTGAAAAATTTAACTCCCCAGAAATCAACATATCTTTTAGTTGCTTCTATCCTATGTAACGGTAATCTCAGTTGATCTTCTTTCAGCCTCTTGTGTCGTGTGTGTGAAAGTTTGCATTCGCATTAAATTTACTTCTATATTTTCTTCTGTCATAAACATACATCAAGGTAGCCAAAATGTATGCACTTGGTACGGTAAGTATACATTCTGTTTTAAATACATCTTTGCAGCTGTCAGTAGTTTTAAGATTGCATAAAGCTCTCACCGCCTTCTTCTGCAAACCAAAAATTCATTTCAATTCTTTGACATTACGGTTAGGATACTTATTGGACGCAGAATTGGATTCATTACTTTCGGTATCGGAAGCACAACCGCCAGTTTCCATGCAGTAGGGAAAACGCCGTTTTTAATACAAAAGATAATATGGGTGATGTAAGACGATAAAAATGGCATACAATGTCTTAATTTATTTTAACTTAATAGATATTTCGTCAGATCCAATTGCATTAGATCTAATTGATTGCAGAGAACTGAAAATGTCATCCTCCGACACCGTTGACAGTTTAAGAGAACTATTTAAGTTTTCATTTGCGCCCATGTAAGTATCTCCAATAACTGTATTATTAGTGTTGAGAATCGAGTCAATAAAATAGTCATTAATGACAGAAGCATCCGCAAAATGGTTAGATAATGCTCTATGTTTAGATTTAACTAAATTAGTCTTCTTCAACGCAGACCAAGACCCAGCCACGCTACCTGTATCCAAAAACTTTTGCAAATAATCTTTTTTACAATTACGAATCATATTAGTAACTATGTTACGCGCTAACTTATACTGTTGCAAATGTAAGGTTGTTAACGCAAGCATATCAAATTTATGTTCGCTCAATAGTGAACCAACTTGATCAACTTTAGGCTGCACTGATCGAACGTTAAGATGCGCTATGGTAAAGCCACCAGTAAGATCCATTACAAGCAAAACGCCTACACCCGAGATTAAGTTATGATTATAAATGTATATACTTGAAATAATACATCAATCTATCTTTTGTTCATTTTTATCAGCAAGTTCATCTTCATTGTTATTTTAATTAGCTGTAAGGAATTCTTTACATGTACATCTAAAACATTAAAATTGTTAATTATGATGTATGTTGTAGCAGTTAAAAGCACACAAACCAAGTGTGTTTGAGGTTGCTACATCTTTTAGCATAATTATTTCATTATTAACGTTTTAATCTTTCATTAAGTCTACAAATTCGACATGTACGTTAGATACCTCAGTCAAGTTACATCGTTAATGTGTCATTAAAAAAATAAAATAGTGGACCACACATTTTTAATAATTTTTAACATTCTTAATTCTAAATCTTAATATATAATTTCTTTTTAAGGCATATAAATAATAGCATTGACCGACTAAAAATCATTGAACTAAGACGACGATTTCAACGACCAACTAAGTAGTTTCACCATAAACCTCGAGGCGATCACACTTAATTATTTCCTTTTAAAGGTCACATGAAACTGCATAAAGATTAAGTAAGGACGAATCGTATTCACGTCTAAATTATAAGATAGTCGAAACTAACTATTTTAGTTTCCGTTTGATCGTTCAAGCAACAAAACGTTTCTATTTCAGTAAGTCTAGTCATTTTATCATTATTTTCAATTTAATATTAAAAACGTTTTAGGTTATCTTATATAGAATAATTAATGTCTATTTATGATAAAATATCATTTGATAAGAGTTATCAAAATTCATTTAGTTATTTCTGTATATATTTCTGTAATTAAGTTAAATTTTAATTATTTCATGTTTGTTTTATAATTTTTTTTATTAAAACCTAGGTTTAACATGAAAATTCTTGTGATTGGCGCTGGCGCAGCAGGATTAGTAGCGGCTAAATATGCTTTGCAAAACAATCACGATTGCGTTGTAATTGATATGAGGTCAGAATTAGGAGGAACTTGGGTTTATACAGATGATGTCGATTTGGATAAATATGGATTTCCGGTTTATTCCGCAACATATAAGAGTTTAAAGTAAGGCTTTTTATATTAAGTTAAATCTATATTATATTTGTTTCTTACAGAGCAAATATTCCCAAAGAAGTAATGGGTTACCCAGATTTTCCAATTAGTGACAAACTTCCAACTTATCCCACGCATAATGAAATGAAAGAATTCTTGAAAGATTACGCCGATTATAATAACTTAAATAAATTATTTAAGGTAATGTTACAATTCGCAAATTGTATTTAAACAGTCAGAGACGATACGCGAATTGAATATGTTCAACAATTAACAGCACTAAAGAATACTGAAATCCCAAAAGCGAAGCCGTTTTCAGAATAAAATGCAAGGAAACACAAGTTCTAAGCGTAGCTTTATCAAATATTGTTTTTATGTAGGTTATCATTCTGAAATCTTTCTCCGGAATACAAAACCCAAAAACAAAGTACCAAAACATCAAAATATTAATCAAATACTTATATTGGAGAGGATTATGGCGGAACAACTACAATCCTTTTTAAATCCTAATCATATTTTACCTCAGAAACAATCTGGCTTTAGGCGACAGTATAGCTGTGCCACGGCACTTCTTGATCTGACAGATGACGTATTTAGAGCTCTGGATGGGGGAAGATCTACTGTACTTGTGCTTCTTGATTTCAGCAAGGCATTTGATATTTTGAATCATAACCTTTTGTTGGCTATTCTGAGGTTTATTGGTGTTTCTGATTGTGCTGTTTCCTTGTTTCGGAGCTATCTTTCTAACAGGATGCAATCGGTTAAGGTTAAATCCGTTTGTTCTGATTCTTCTACAATTGTAGCAGGTGTACCGCAAGGTTCTATTTTGGGTCCACTTTTATTTAGTATTTTCACCAGCAATTTATTTTCAAAGTTAACCTTATGTTCCTATCACTTATATGCGGATGATACACACTTTATTTCGACCTCATACCTGGCGAGTTGCCTCATGCATGTGACAGAATTACTGAGGAATTGGGTCACTTATGTGTGGAGATACAAAGGCATGCTCTTGTGATCAATCCTGACAAGACCCAATGCATCTTATTTACTAAAAAGGGTAACTTATCTGTTAATAAAAATGACATTAACATTAGTATGCTAGGGGAGCAATTAAGAGTGGTGGACTCGGTCAAGAGTTTGGGTGTTGTCATTGATGATAGGCTTACTTTTGGTGATCACATTAGGTTGATATGTAGGCGCGCGTATGGGTCCCTTAGAAGCCTCTATTTTAGTAAAATGTTTTGGTCGATAAAGCTCAAACGCCTTCTCTGTGATGCTCTAGTTTTGTCTCACTTTAATTATTGTAACGCTGTATTTGGTCCATGTCTATCTTTTGAGAGTTTGCGAAGAATTCAGGTCGTGCAGAATTCGTGTCTTCGCTTTATTTATAAATTGAGGAGAAGTGATCACGTCTCAGAAGCTCTTCAGATTTGTGGTTGGCTGAATATGCGACAGAGATTTGTTTTTCATTACTTGTCTTTTATTCATGGGATTATTTATTCTGGTAAACCTCCTTATCTTTCTCGCAAAATTACCTTCAGAACTGATGTACACAATTTGAATCTTATCGTTAGGCATGGATTTTGTATTACAGTTCCGCTGCATAGATCGTCAAAATTTCAGTGCTCGTTTTCCTATCAAGTAGCTCGTTTTTGGAATGCGATTCCCAGTTCTACGAGGTGTGCCCGCTCGGTTCAGTTGTTTAGATCTATTGTTTTGCGCGAGAGGGTGTTTGATCGGGTTTTGTGATAATTGATATAATGTTGCTTTTGATTCTTTTGGTAATCTAATAATCCTAACTACTTGTTTTTATTTTTGTTTTTATTTTTATTATCTCATTTTCATTGATACTGCTCAGTTTTGATTTGATTTAACTTTTATTTTATTTTCTGCTGCTGTTCTCATTAGGTGCAAGTAAAATCAGTGGCATTGTTTTGCCTTTTCTGCCCTTGCACCCTTTGAGCTATAATTTAAGTTTAATATTATTGTACTTTTCCTTATTATTGTATTTTGTTTTTTCTAATTTGGCTCAATAAATTATTATTTATTAAATACTGTAGCGTGCTATGACACGCCAACTAATGTCATATTAACAAAAAAGTTGAAACATATAAAAACAACAGAAGCAAATAGAGCAAATAGAAGCGTCATAACATTTTTTAAACATTTCCTACATGGAAATCATTTTACAGTTTTCACCGACTACAAACCTATAACTACGGCAATATTTTCATCAACAGAAAAAACACCAAGACAAATCAGGTACCTAAATTATATAACACAATATACATCTGATGTGAGATACATTAAGGGAAATTTCAATATTGTTGCAAACACTTTGTCCAGGATAAATATTGAAACTCTGAATTCTCAGTACCCTGACACACTTACACTTTACAAAGCTCAACTCACGGATATCCCCTATCTCTCTATCACTTATTAAATTATGGTGTGAAATGTCAACGAAATCTCCGCGAATTTATATTCCACAGCAATTCAGAGAGTTATAAAGAAATTGCATGGTTTATCTCACCCTCATATACGAGCAACCATTCATTTAATAAAAACAAAATTCTTTTGGTCTCATATGTCAAAACAAATTCGTATTTAGACTAAATCATGTTTGCAATGGTAGAAAGTAAAAATACATAGCACACAAAATCGCCAATTCTCAAAATCAAGATTCAAAAAGTTCGGTTTGAACACATACACATTGATTTGGTTGGCCCACTCGCTCCATCCCTCGGATGTACTTATCTGCTCACGGCCATTGAGCGTTTTACACGCTGGCCAGAGGCTTTTCCTCTAAAAATATTTCTGTAACCTCTATTGCGAAGACTCTTTTCAGACATTACTTCAGCTGTTTCGTTTAATACTACTTGGTCTCAGATCATCTCTGAAGGAGGAGTTAGGTTGTTCATCTGCAGAATTGGTTTATGGTCAGTCACTCAGATTAACGAGATCAATTGAAACTGAACCATTAGCATCAAGTTTAAAATCATCTTTGCTGACACTAAACCAGTTCAGTCAACCATACATAGCAGCCAAAAAACCTTTTATGCACAAGGAATTGTTCAGCACAAACTTTGTATTTGTTAAAATCACTGGTATTAAACCGACCTTAAATGAAATAATCTACAAAGTTAAGCAAACTAAACAAAATAATTGCTTTATAGCAATGCTTTACTAAGCAAGATCTTAAGTTTTGGTAGGTTCCTCAGTAAATTATGAGAGTTATCTTATTAATTCCTATTCGATATACAAAACTTGTAAATGTAATGTAATACCATAAATATGCTCTAATAATAACTAATTTCGTATCCTAACCACGATATTTGACAAATCTATTTTAATTCTCATTATTTTACAGTTTAATTGTATAGTAACCAAAATTGAACCAATTAATAAACACCAATGGATGACCTATTATACAGACAAAGTTAAAAAATTAAATTATTTCGAAATTTTTGATGTTGTTATGTTATGTAGTGGGAATTATAACGAAGGAAACATGCCAAAAAATATAAAAGGAACGGATATTTTCAAGGGGGACCAATTCCATAGCAGACAATACAGATCTCCAGACAATTACAAAAACAAAATCGTTTTAATAATCGGAGCTGGGCCATCCGGAGTCGATTTAGCATTAGAAATTTCTACAACAGCAAAAGCAGTGTTATTAAGTAACCATTCGGATATTTTAACTTCTAAATACCCAGATAACGTGCATCGAAAACCGGATATAAAAGAAATTTTTGAAAACGACGTCGAATTTGTTGATGGAAACGTTTCGAAAGTTGATGTTATCTTTTATTGTACAGGTACGATAAAATTACCGAGTTAATTGCAAGTGCTTTTAGAATTTAACTTGTTCCTTAAGTTCCTTATTGTAAGAATTCGAATAATTTAACTTATTGCGTCTTCGAGCATTCTTTCCGTCTTAACAAAAGCGAGAAGATAAAACGAATTAGCCACACCGTTTTCATTGTAGGTTTCAACTACAGCTACCCGTATCTGCACGAATCGTGCGGAATCCGAATTAACGATAATCACATAACACCTCTTTACAAACACATGATCCACATGGAACGACCGACTATGTGCATGATCGGGATTCCCGTACATGTGTGTGCTTTTCCCATGTTCGACCTACAATGTCGCTTCTACATGAAATATTTAAACGGCGAAATGCATCTTCCTTCGTTAGAAGTAATGAGAAAGGAAGAGGAAAACGAAATTAACACTAAAATGCTTAAGGGATATCGTGAAAGAGATTTTCATAAAATGGGGTGTTTTCAACAAGAGTATTATGATAGTTTAGCAAATTTGGCGGGGATTAAATCTTTACCACCAGTTATTGCTAAAGTTAGGGATTGTAGTTTTAAAAGATTTTATGAAAACTTAATGACGTATAGATCTGATAGATATAAGATTGTTGATGATGAATCGTTTGTACATATTGTTTAAGATTAAATGTAATTCGTTTAATTTGATACAAAAACTGATGTTAGCTTGAAGATACCGTAAACTTAATTAAAAGTTTCTTTCTCTGAAGAAATCTACTTAGAATGTAAAATAGTTAAATGAAATAAATAATTAATGTAATTATTTAATAATGAATTAAATGTTTAATTATTTTAATCGCTACATTATAGAAAATAAATCTTATTTTATTATTAATCCAAAAATTAAACACTTAATTTAAATAAATTATATAGGCAACCAACAATACGATATATAAAATGATTTATTCTGTGGTGCCATCTATACAAAAATCATTAAACTATATAACTATAAACTTTTCTAAAATGAGTCTGAAATTATCTTGGTAGTGCTATACGATTGATCATCTATCTACGTACATACAGATTTGCTGTAACAGGCTCATATTGCAATATTTGTGAGACAATATATTAAAAATAAAGAAGAAAGACTGCTTAATCCTATTTATCTTAACAAAAGGTGAATTTTTAAAAGAATCTTTTAGAAGAATTTCCACGTAAAAATTTGAATGATGAAGATAAAAGTCTGTTAAAAAATGTTTCATTGCAGAAGGATAAAGGTATGCACATTACTATGATAACTAAGAATTCTTGGACATCTCGCAGACTTTCGATAGTCTAACATTATGACTTAATCACTAAACTTAAAAAAGTAACTACCTCACCAATACTATTCCCTGCTGCGATCATATTTGAAGGAGAGGTAATTCTTTATGCCACAGGAAGGTCAACCTAATCTTCTACCTATACAAGCTGGAGTCCCATAGGGCAGCGTTTTGAATCCAACATTATACATCATATACACTGCATTTACACCAGCACAGCCACCTACGCTGATGATACTGTTATCTTGGCATTACATAGGGATATCAGAATTGCTTCTTGCCATCTTCAAAAGCACTTACTCAAACTGGGTGAATAGACTAAACGATGGCGAATCAAAGTAAACTGCAAAAAATCTGTACAGGTCACCTTCTCACTAAATTGAAGGACGTGCCAAGAAGTAAGTTCCTCTCCCAATTCAAACTGAAATTAAATACTTGGAAATCCATTTAAACAACCATTTAACCTGGGAAAACACATTTGGACCAAGAGGCTTCAATTGGAACTCATATATAGAAAAAAATTTATTGGTATATAATCATAGCTTAGTGTATCACACAAATTTAGATACACAATATTTAATCCTTGAAAATGTATCTTATAGGTTAAGGTTAAAGCTAAGACTCCCTAACTTAAAATGGCGTAAGGGCGAGTTAGTTGAGTATTTAAAAACAAGAGCTATTACTTATCATCCAAACATGATAAAATCTTATATATTTATGAAATGTTTTAAAATTGATGGTTGTATTCATAATATGATAAAATAAACAGGCTGTTCCACTTAAATAAATTGACGTTACGCGTAAATGGAACATCCTGTATAAGTGAAAATTATTTTACGTAATAGAAAGTGATTAGTCATTACTTTTGTATAAAATATTTTTTTGTTTTTCAAACGGTTTAGTAACTATCGACCACCGGCATTCTAATAACTCATCCTGTATATTTACTACATATCATTAAATATAAATATACAATATGCGCCATAAATACTATCCCCCTGTCTAAATTGCAAACAGTTTGAGATATCGTCATGAGCCGAAACACTTCGATTCTTATTTTCTGGTAACTCAAATAATTTAGCATAAAAAATTGTAAAAAACTGTTGGTTTTTAAGATTTAAAAATCATTTAACAATTTAAAAGCATTTTGACAGCCGCATCGTCCAGCACTTTGAGAATATCTGTCTGGATATGCTCTGCTCCAGACGCATTATTGTCAGAATACAGCACTTCACAGTACTGTTTACATTGGTGAAGTACCATCTCGTCTGTTCTAGGTTTGAATTTCCTTAATAGCAGGTTCATTTTTTGGAAAAGATCGCATACTGTGAATTTCTCGGCTTAATCAGCTGTTCATTCTTGTTTGAGAATAGTAGCGGCACATTATTCAATCATTATTTCCATGCAAATATAATAATAATAATAATGTTTATTGCCTCAAAAACAAATATTTACATAAATATATACATTCATAACAAATATAGACATCAAGACAAACGGATCAATTTATCGCAATAAACGATATCTTCCAAGAGACCCAACTGGTAACAGTGTATATGTAATTTTAAATAAATAAATTATGGCTACCAAAAAAGTAATACTAAATGATGTGCTAATAAAACTAAGCAAATGAGCATATTTGAGTTATGTAATGGATCGACAGTCAGTTACTATAAGGAAGGAAATAGACACAAAAACAAAGTGCCGTAAAAGATAGATGAAAGGCAGACCAGAGAAGACAACAAACACGTATACATCAAGAAGAAGATAGTTGAAAAGATAGCAGATGGCGCCTCAAGGCATTTTTAAAACTTATTAAACTAGTTGCATTGCGAACAACGGCAGGCAAATCGTTCCACAACGCAATGGACTGTACTGTAAAAGATCTGTGGTAGATTTCAGTACTATGGACTGGAAACATGAGTGTAGAGTGCGACATTAATCGAGTGGGCAAGTCTTGTGATGCTTAAAAGTGAAAGGCATCAGACAAATAAGCAGGAGTGTGGGTATGGGCAATTTTGTACAACATAGTAAGCATACGAAATGATCTACGATTCTGGCAAGTCATCATCTGTAGGTTGTTACGATATGGGGTAATGTACTGAAACTTTCCTAAATCAAAAATGTACTGTATACAATTGTTCTGAAGTCTTTCCAGTTTACCCAAGAGGGCTACGGACAGATCGGGATACCCAGCATCGCCATAATGAAAGTGTGGGAAAATGAGTGAATAACAAAGACTACGACGTACAACAGGAGGAAGGTAGCAGCGAGGTTTCTTCAAAGTATGGAAACTGAAGTAAACTCTCCTACAGACTTCCTGAACTTGTGGCCGCTAAAACATCGCCGAATCCATTACCACACCAAGATTTTTGACCGTATTAGAAAACGAAATAACGATGTCGCCAAGCCTCAGTTAAAGGATAGTTAAGGACTTAAATTGTACCAGCAAGGGGCGAGTGCCAAATGCAATGGCTCTCGTTTTACCTGGATTCAGGTTAAGTCCATGACGTCTAGACCAGTCAAGCACGCTAGAGAGATGATAGTTACACGAGATACCATCACTAATACTATTTATGAAAATTGAGAAGAGCAAAGGACTCAGCTCACTGCCCTGGGGAACTCCACTTTTGATGTCAACAGGAGAAGAAAGTACAGATTCCACGCGGACACGTAAAGACCGATAGGAAAGGTAGGACTGGAACCAAGATACACAAGAAGAGGTAAAACCAATAGCAGAAAGCCTAGTTGACAGGAGAGCATGGTCCACAGAATCAAAGGCCTTACTAAAATCAAGTAACACTAGCAAGGTAACACAACGCTTATCACAAGCAGATCTAATATCAACGGTTTTCGTGAAGGACCATGCCCTTCACGAAAACCAAAGTGGAGCTTGTTAATCAAATTAAACTCCTCAACATATTTCTGAATCTGTAAATAAGCTAAACGTTCAATAGCTTTTGACAACGTAGATAGAATAGAAATAGGTCGAAAGTCACCAACATGGGACGGAGATTTAATTTTTGGGATAGGAATAATATGGGCAATTCGCCAGATTGAACAGTTGAAAATATGTGTTAGAGGAGTAATAAGTATATCCAGAATAGGTAAGAGAAATCTGAGTCCAATACCATCTGTTCCGACACTACTGGACTTGGAGTAAGTTAAAGCATCTCGGACCTCAGCATCTGTAACCAAGCTGAATGAAAAGGAAAGCACGTTGGTAGATGCAAGGATTTCATTAATAGTAGCCTGCCTTGTTATGTTACCAACCACCACAGGAGGATCCGCAAAATACTCCGCTAGACCAGCAGCATCAAGAGTGAGTAGATCTGTAGGAGACTCTACAACACCAAGTGACCGCATTGTTTTCCAAAATGCCTTATGAGTGGCTCCAGACAACCTCTGTAAGTAGTGTAAGTAAGTAATCTTTTAGCGTTTTTGCATCGATGATTACAACGGTTACGCAGCACACGATAATGTTCCCGATTGGCAGCAAAAGGGCTACGTTTGAACAATAACTAGGTCTTTCATGCTCCTGCAAGCAGCCTAACGTCGTAACGGCAACGCTCAGTAAATTAAGTGATGATTCGAAAATTGAAGTGCAGGCAACTGACTCTGCGTAAGAATGTTGTCCGGGCGAGACATGATAATAAGATCAAGGAGAGTATGAGAGAATGACGAGCAGTGAGTCGGCAGAGAGCGTAAGATCGATAGATTTAGTGACGAAGTTATAAATTGTTGTTTTTCACAACGTGCATCATTTTTCAATAAGCAGGCGATGAAATCACCTTTGACCTTTGATTCACCTTGATTGTATCAAAATAAAGAGAGTGTTTCTCAAGGAACTCATCCACCTGATCAAAGTAAGTGGCGAGAGGAGGGCAATAAAAGGCGCCAAATAAAACCGCAATGCCTGCACATTTTATCTCCACAAGACTCGGCACCCTGCGTTGACCCGTCCGAGGTCTCAATAATGGTGGCATATAAACTGTCTTTAATGTACATAGCTACTCACCCACCGCGCGAGAACACACGATCATTTCTTATAAGCCGATAATTAGGTAAAGTTAATAAGGCAAGGAGGGTTTAAGCCATGTTTTTGCTCACCATCATGCGAAGATACTAGATTCGAATGTTACAAGTAAATCATCAATGTGCACGTTTAAACTTTGCGAATTTATATGACAAGCAGAGTAAGCAGCAGAATATCAATTAGCATTAGAATTTTAGACTGTCTACGTAATCGAAAAAGAGTAGTAGAAGTAGCCATTATTAAAGACGACATTAGAAAATGTGTAGCAGCTGGATCTCCTACGAGTATGAGCACTACTTGATACATAAGAGATGTTACTACGGAAAAAATGGAAAAAGCAGTAATGATATGACTAGAAGACACAACTCAAAAGAGGATTACAATTGATAGCAAGCAATGTAACGAATCACGGGTTCGGTTAATTTTATTGATAGTCTTTGTCTTTCCATCTTTGTTTTATTACTTTAAGAAGGGTTCTCTGCATCAGAATGTTTTCAGTGGTTCGAGTTCCTTTTAGCCAATGGAAACAATTGTTTAAGTTAAAAGCGTTGGAAGAGAAGGTAGTAATGGTTAAAAATCTCGAACGCTAGAAATGACCGTGAAGTTTTTTCAAGGCAATTCAATTTGTAAACAGTTCGTAGCCTAAGTAGTCAAGATGGAAGTCCCAATATATAGCAGTCCAGAAACCAGAGAGTAAACGCAGACAACAAGAGTCGAAAATCAGAGAAAATGTAGAAGAGAAGAGTTGAGAAATGTGATTTTTGATTCTAAGAAAAATCCGTTACCAAAATGAGATTTGAAATCCTTTATAAGTAATTTTAATTAACAGTTATAGCTTACTAATTGTTTGGTATATCTTACTAGTATTTTTGTGCCATTATTGACACATTCAATTTTTTCTCATTTGGCAAATATAATAACTGCGCGAGAAATTTCTATTTGTTGAATACGCAATTGTACACAAAAAATGCTACTCAGCAAGACAAAGAAGATTGTTGATAATGGCGAAAATAATGGAATCACCTTCCACAGGCGATGGATAAAAAGTAAATTTTGTAAGGCATGCTTTACATATAAAAGTACGGAAGATCGAGGTGAGTACATTGAATGCAAAAAATCTCATGAAACTGTGTACGAGGTGAATCACGAGGGCTAGAAAGATGTTAGTTTACAGGTTTTCACTTGCAAATTAAAAAAATGGCGTTACTTATGTATATTAGTTAAGGCAAATGTTGAAAAAAATCCAAGTTAAGTATTGGACAGCAGAGTTATATTAATGGGGAACTTGTTTGATGAACTTATAATTTATGATGGCCATAGGTAGACACTGCAACTCTATTGAGGACATGAAAAAAGCTATTTGGGTCACTTTATACCACAAAATTTTGACCAATGAGAAGCCTCAACATCACTTTTGTCCGGAGGGTCCAAGATTGTGGGTGTTTGGCAATTACGAAAAGCAGTTGCAGGATATGAAATTATAATCACAAGCATGATCCAGCAATGCTAACTGAAGTTGTTGAGGGCATAAAACCTATTCACAAAGAATTGAGCAGTTGCTTAGATGGGTTTATAATAAAAAATAATACAAATAAAAAAATAATAAATTGTAATAACATTTTACATAAAATTACGAATCATAAGAATAAATTTAAACTTTAATGACAACTCTTCGATGGTAGTGACATCTACATAAAAAATATTAACTTGCATAGCAACGTTAGATATCAAATTAAATAAATTAAAAAAAAATTTGTCATTTTTACCACCATACACATTTTTATTATTTTTTTAATGTCTTCCAAATTCACTTTAACAAATTGTTTCAAGTACATAAACAATTTTAAAATTTTAATAAATTATTTCAAATTAAACCCAACAAATTTATTACAGAAATCTGTAATTATCAGGTGACTTGACAACTGTCTTCTCCGGTCGATTCATCTTAACCTCTAAAAAGTCCATTTCTTGCAAATCATTTTAGTATTCGACTATTTCTTGTGAAGATGAGCAACGAAGTCGATAAAACCCATCATATCCTACCTCAAGATCAACCTATCGTTTACTTGGATGCCGGTACTGCTTTTAAAGGATTAACCGAAAAAGAAAAACTTTACGCCTATTTCTTAAGCAAAGCTTCGTGGACCGGAGGTTTGATAACTTTACTACAAACTAGCCCCGAATCAGGACCAATATTTGTTATATTACATAAATTATTTCAATCTGAAAGTGTGTCAGAATTTTATACGGCTGCTTTAAAATGTGGGTTTTCCGAAGAGGAAATTAATGCACTCTATGTTTATGCTTGTGGCATTTTTAGTAATGCAGGAAATTACAAGGTAATAAAATTTGAGAGTTTTTTTTTCAATTTATTAATTGTTATCTATCTTTATAGGGATTTGGTGATTCAAAATTTATCCCAGGAATTGATATGGATCGTATGGAAGAACTACTTCAATTATCATTAGGGTGGGAAACCTTTGAATCTTTATGGCATAAATACAAAAAAGCAATTTATGATTTATCACCTGGAAAAACTTGTTTAGGTTATCCACCGCATGGTTGTACCACTTATTTCTCATCAAATTTCACTGCTGCTGATAATGATATAGTACAAGATAGGTTCAAGAAACAATTAGAACTGTATAATACTCGTTGTTTTAAAACTGAAAAAAAGGGAAGAACTGTATATGAAATACGCTTAGCTAGTGAAGAAAGAGGAGAGGTAACAGTTGAAAGTACTGATAATATCGATTTCCGAACAACCCGTGGAGATTACTCCCCTTTAATGGGGGAAGTTGCAAATTATTTAGAACAAGCAATACCTTATGCTGCTAATGAAACTGAACAAAATATGCTCAAAGCGTATGTTGAGTCATTTAGAAAGGGATCTTTAGATGACCACAAAACTGGATCTAGGTTTTGGATTAAAGACAAATTACCTACAATAGAGTCCTATATAGGTTTTATTGAAACGTACAGAGATCCTGCTGGGGTTAGAGGGGAATTTGAAGGATTTGTTGCTGCTGTTAATAAGGAAATGTCAAAGAAATTTGCTACTTTGGTTGATAATGCTGAAAATTTGCTCACATTACTTCCTTGGCCTAAAGGTTTTGAAAAGGATAAGTTTTTGCGACCTGATTTTACATCTTTAGATGTTCTTACATTTGCTGGTAGTGGAATTCCTGCGGGTATTAACATTCCAAATTGTAAGTATTTTTTTTTCATGGAATAAAATAATGTAATTAAAATAAATTAAGGGAGAATTCCAGTCTAGAATCCCGATTTTTAGGTACCTTCATTGATACCATGATATTTTCTAGCACCTATAAAATGTGTTTTTATTTCATTATGTTTCAACAGCAGTTTTTACAAGGGTAATAATTAAATGGTTTTGTATTAAAACCACCTCATTTTTTATGGTAACCATGATGAGATCCTCTGAAATAGAATATGTAAATCAAAAAACCTCGATAGAAGCAAAATGGCGTCATTCTGAAGATTGAATTTAATTTATTTGCGGTTTTTTTACATTTCAAAGAGTTGTAGAATTAAATATGAATATTTTAATTTGATTCTAGTTCAAAGGATAACTATAGTCCCTACCACGAAACACGCGAATGACTCATTGTTAAAAACTATGCTATAAGTTTTGGATGTAGGACTTACGATTAGATAAAAGCATTTTTTAAAAGATAGGCAACCAAATACACTTAGCGTACACTGCACTTTTTATATAGATTGGTGTTCATATTATCGCGATAATCTCCCGATTTAGACGTTGCTGAAAATAACGTGCGAGTTATAATTTATATGTACATACAGGGTGTCCCGTTAGGGGAACGGAGCGGCTGTATCTCGACAACGGTAAGGCCTAGAGGTTTGGGAAAAAAATCCTTATAGACAAAATGAGCAACAAAAATAGCTGTAAATTATTTTTAAGTTCGTAATTCGACCGCTAGGGGGAGTAACATGAAACATAAAATTCCCACTATCTCAGAAAGTTAGACGATGAGCTATAACTTTGACAACATCATTTAGTAGCTTGGATAATACCGCATCGCTTTTGTTTCGCGATATTTTTCATATCTGTTATAATAAGGGCCAATGCCAATAAACCAATGCGTTTTTTTTTTTAATGGAACCACCTATATTTTAATTTTTGTTCAACTAGAATTTTTTCAAACTTTTCAAAGATATATAATAAATATATTATTTTATAAGTAGGCTGTGATAAATTAAGTGATCGCGTTGCTAGGATACCGGAATAAACAAAGAATATTGAAAATACTATAATATTTTTACTACTATATTACTTTTATTTAATTATTGACTTATTAAAAAAATGTATCAGTTAATTTTTGTTTGCAAAATACGCAAAATAATTCCAAACCTTTTATAACAACTGCTATGGATGCATGAAGCATCTTTCAACAAGCTGGTGTAAACTTGCATAGTATGCATTCTTTGTTCGAGCAAAACCCACATTGCTTTCACCCCTTTATCTATGGGGTAGACTAAACTACCTGACTTTTCAAGAAAAACCAATAATCAGGGAAAATATGACAAAATACTAAATGCTATTAGAAACGTGTCCAGGCCTGAGACATAAACAGCGTTTTTTTTTCGTCGAAACTAGATTAAATAAATGCATCGAGGTTTATGGAAGACATTTCGAACATTTGTGAGCTGTTTTTGCCAAAAAATTAAGTAATTCTAATTGTTTTGGTTTATTTTGTTTTATTATCTTTGTTGATGTTGCATTGATCCGTTGGCTTTTAAACACGCCTCAAAAATAGTTTTGAAAGAGTTCTCAGCTTGGATAAAGTGTGAAGGAAGGTTCTAGGTAATAACATTTTTGTGCTCTCTTATTTGTTTGCTAAGGTAACGGGATCCGATTAAGATATACGAGTTTTTAACATTTTGTTCTATAATTCGAGAATGGATAGAGATATCGAGATGCAATTTTCACTAATATTTAGCAAATTTTATGGTGACTAAGGGTCTGTGAAGTAAATAGTACCGTTCCATTTAACTTTTCTTCAAAATCACAAAAATATGTATTTGCTGCAGATAACGCCATCTAGCTTATTTGTTTTTAACCAAATGGTTTTAAAGTTTTGCCATCGCTGTCTTTACCAGTATACATTCAAAAGATAACTTGTTCGAGCATCAGTGATTTCAAACAATCTTTATGCCATATTTAGCAGGTTTCTTGGGCATTTGAATGCGAAATCTGCACTGTCCACGACATAAAACATAAGGAAGGTTGGAAACATAAAACGCCGAGTCTTTCCTCTGTTTGCGTGGTTTGTTGACATCTTGTAGAAATCTTTCTTCTTTAAGTTCTCTTTATCGCATATCCTTTCTGCACACTGGAACAAGGCTTGGATCACTGACTTTTCTGTTGTGGGTGGAAATGGAATGAATCCTGCAGGTACCTGTTCGTTTGTGTCTTCTTCCGATACACTCCCAGAAACTCAGGAATGGTAACTGTTTTGCAGCTTCCGTTTCCATGGTAAATTTGATCAAGGAGTGTTATGAGTTTAGGTAGCCTATAAATTCCTGGAGTCGCTCTTTTCCCTATTGGAATGCTATACTTTTTGGAAATTCCGCTATATGTAATGGTTTTCGGGAAAGTATTGATTTGCAAATTGATGGTTGTAGCATTCCTTTGGTTAGTGAGGTAACCAAAGGAGTTTGGGTATGATTCTGGATAACAGTTTTCGCTATAAGAAGCATGTCTCCAACTGTATATCCAGGGCTTATATCATCTGAGGATGTTGTTTCCTCATCGACACTACCTTGGTATTCATCTGAAAAAGATGTTGTGCGAAGCCTCTGTTTTGACTCAATTCACTTATTGTGCTGAGGTCTACCATACGTGCATTGACGTTAGTGATGTAGCACGTATGCAACGAGTACAAAACTCGTGTCTTCGGTATATATATGGAATTAGAAAATATAACAGAATATCTTATAAACTGAAGGATGCGGGATGGCTAAATATGTATCATCGTAGGAAAGTGCAGTGTTTGTGCCTATACCATAAAATTATATACTATAAGGAACCACAGTATCTTTACCAACTAATAACTTTCCGAACTGATGTCCACCGAATAAATACGCGATTTCGCGGAAGACTGCCACCCTTCTATCGTTTGTCTCTATTTCAGAGGTCATACATATATTTCAAATAACTTCGAAATATAATGAGGTGGACGATAATTGCAAGGGGTTCTCACTAGGAAGGTTTAAATTTATACAGAAATATTCTTGTTTTCTTGAACAATGTCTACATGGGGGCAAACGCTGATCTGACATGTTTTGCAATCTTATTGTGGTATCAATCTGTTGCTTTGTAATTTTTGGCCGAGTCATGTTTTTCTTTTTTTGTTTCTTAGGTTAGTTAGAGCAGCTGTACTGTCTAGTACAAGCTGGAACTCGCCTATTTACTTTTGTATGTTTTTTTTATACAATTAAGCTTATTTTCTAATAAAGGCATTTATTATTATTATTATTACCAGATCACGAAAGTGTCATCGGCGTAACGGAGCCATAGCTTCGGTGTCCACGCGCTCTTCCTTAACGCTTCCTCTTCAAACATTTTTATGTAAGAATTGATGTCAGAGGTGATCCCATGGCTGCCCCTTCGCATTATTCATAGAATTCTCCCTTCCAGCTAACATATGTTGATACTAGGCAGTACTCCACTAGCCCTGGAACATACTACAGCAAGCCCTCTGGGATGAGTTTCTGGTGAAAACAATCCACGGCATTTTTGTCTAGTACTCTTGTGAATAGAGATTCCACGTCGAAACTTACCAAGATATTCTGGGGATCTAACTTCACACTCCTGATTGATTCCACAAAATGTGTAGAATCTGTGAGATATGATTCTGTTTTACCTGTAAAAGGAAACAGAATCTCGGCAAGGTGTTTTGCTTGCTGATACGGAGGAGAATTTATGGCACTGGCAATGCGGAACATCCGTTTTATGGATTTTAGGTAATCCATATTTGTTCGTACTGGGGTCTGTACGTACAACCTTTCTGTTGTTCTTCTGGCATTCCTGTAGATTTACCAATTCTTTCATTTTCCTTACTATCTTCTCGTTTGGGTCAAGTTTTATTTTCTTATAGGTGGCTGAGCCCAAAAGGCTCGTCATCTTATCGTCATATTCTTTGATTGTACAGTCTCAACTACTACCTTCTTAATAAGGAAAGAAGGACACAAATAAAAGAGGGAAGGTATAACGGAATGTACAGGGACTTAATTATGGAGGGGCTGCCTAGATACTTGTTATTGGAAGGAGATGAGGAAGGGAAGAAGTTGGTGGCTAGGTTCCGTTGTGGAAACGAGGATAGAGCTAACAGATACTGGTTGGCCGATGAGGAGAGGTGGTGTAGGCTGTGCCGGGGGGAATGGGAAACGTTGGAACATATGTTGAATGGGTGCAGTGAGTTGAGGGAGGAGGAGATGGACCGAGGGCAGATCTTAGGAGAGGCGGGAGAGGGGAAACGATGGATGAGAATGGTTGTGGGGGTGAGGAGACAAAGGGATGGATGAGGGGATGATTGGGCCGAAGGTGTTGAAATGGAGGAAGAGGGTAGAGGGTGAAAATATGATTTTAATAATGTAAAGAATTGTAGACAGATTGTTGTATACAATAAACTTTGTCAATTCTTTAATAGCTTACATCGAAATACCTCGGCGGCAAGCAACCTCAGCTCTAATTGTAAGAAATGTCTCGGCCACAAGCGACCTCGAGTCTATGTCTATAACAGCTTAGATTGTACAGCCTCAACTCCTAACTTTCTAACAGTTTACATTGTAGAGTCTACCATCACCAAACATTGTAAGACGATTTTTAGTATACCCCGATTGACTATTTAAAATGTTGTCCCCTTCTACAGCACTTTTCAAAGTAGCTACACAAACCGACTGCGCGGCCACATGAATGTTATTAAGGCAACTGTAATATGTATCTTTAGAGGTACCTTATAAAAGTCCATAAAGTCACAAAATAATGATATTCTGTCATTTGCAATGCCCAACAAGCAAAAAATAAAAATTGCTTAGTGGCTTAGTATGCTGTTTGCCATCTAATTGTAAAACTAATATATCGCTTTTACACTCCTTACACATCACAAGAGTGGTGCTAAAAGCGGTAAAAAAGTCTAGTAAAATAACCAAATTCTTTCTAAACCGAATCAGTATTTTTAGGTATATTTAAAATTTTTGCTGACATGCCCTTGAATTTGTCGTCTTTTTCAGTCGTATAACAGTTTCCGGAAAATCGACGCTTTTTATTGCGTTTCGGATGGTTTGGTGGATTTCTTGATCCTTTTCTACCCATTTGAAAATATTCCAATAAACAACGTTAGAATTGTGAGATCGTTATATGATAAATTTTAAAAATACTATTGAGTTAATACATGTGAATTCATTTTTGAAAACATTTTTGTATCAGAATACAAAAAAAAAGCGCTTTTTTAACATTTATGTAAAGTTCTCTAGACCGGAATCCCTCTTAATTAATTCAAACCCTATTTGAAAATAAATTAAAAATTGAAGTATTTTTTCAGATGATGACATTCGTCAAACCGAAGGTTTCAAGAACGTTTCATTGGGTAACGTAATTCCAGCAAGTTATCAACAATCAAACACTCCTTTTTTGAGTGATTCTGATAAAGATCTCTTACAAAAATATAGAGTAACTGCATTTGAAGTGCAAGTAGGTCTTCATGAATTACTTGGACACGGATCTGGTAAGTTACTTCAAAAACAAGCTGATGGAACCGTAAATTATCCTGACACATTAATCGATCCGTTAACGGGAAAACCTCCTACTTCTTGGTATGGACCAGGTGACACATACGATAGTCGTTTTGGTCCACTTAGTTCTGCTTACGAAGAATGTCGAGCAGAAGCCGTTGGTTTATATTTAAGTTTAGAACCAACGGTATTATCTATTTTTGGTCATAAGGATTCTGATGCTGAAGATGTTCTTTATGTAAATTGGTTGTCGCTTGCATGGACGGGGATTTGTTCTTTGGAAATGTGGGATTCAAAACGTGGTTGGTTACAAGCTCATTCCAGAGCGAGATTTGCTTTGGTTAGAGTTTTAATTGAAGCAGGTGTAGCAACCGTAACTCAACCAAATCCCAAGGATTTACTGCTTACGTTAGATCGTGAAAGTTTGAAAACTGCCGGAAAGAAAGCGATCGGAGATTTTTTGCTGAAACTACAAATTTACAAATCAACAAGCGATATAAAAGCTGCCAATAATCTTTTTGATACATACACAAACGTTGTTGAACCTTGGATTGATTGGAGAGAAATTGTTTTAGCAAATAAGAGACCGCGAAAAATGTTTGCTCAGCCAAATATCATTAGAGATGGTGAAAATACAATTTTGCATGGTTATGAACCGAACACGGAAGGATTGATTCAATCCTGGGTGGAGCGTTTTGATAATTGCGATTTTATTTATGATGCTCTTATTAGTTTAACCAATAAAGACGAGCATCATTTTGTGAATAGTGCTGAAGGGGATAAAAAGAAAAGTGCTTAAAATTATTTTTTATATATTATTTGTTTCATGTTTTTATATAATATAAATGTTTTATATTTATATAATTATCTTCTTACATTTAATAAAAAGTTTCATATAAGGTAAATCTTTATAACAAAATATTTTAGATCAAAACTGGATGTCACCATAATTAGCGAAAACAAGTTCGTTCTAACACTTCTGTTTTGAAATAGTTTACTTAAAATTGTCGAATCATACGAATAGAAACCTAAATAACATAATATACACTGTGTTAATTAATTATCGTACCCGACGTCATGATTACAAGTATGCAACCAATATCACAATATTGGTATTGCAATACGCGATTTGCGATAATGGTTGTATACTTGCAATGATGACGTTGGGTACGATAATTAATTAACACACTGTACTATAACATACTCTGATGTTATTAGCTGCTAATCCTCTGCGCCTTAATTACTCGTTATCCAAGTCTTCAAATCGAAGTATTGTCATAGTGTCGTCTTGAAATCCATTTCTCTCACGAACTAAATTATGCAAGATTACATCAGTCTTTACTCGAAGTCAACTTAATTATGAAAACAGACTCCAAATAAATAACATCGTGTAGTATCCTCCACTTATTAGTAAGTGGTATTTTCAGCTCTGCTTAAACGGTAGTTGAATACGTTTCAATATCAAATTTGTTGAATGAATGCTTTGACACCAACAAAAAAGTAAGGTATCTTAGAATCTGCTGCACCTTGAAGGCATTTTTCGACGAGTATTTACACCTTGATTTCCCCTCCAAAATTGATCTGGTACGGGCATACCATCAGATACCTATTGCGGAAGAGGATGTTCACAAAACGGCAATTACCACCCCATTTGGTCTTTATGAATTTACCAGAATGTTTTTTGGTTTAAGAAATTCTGCTCAAACATTCTAACGTTTTATTAATGAAGTACCTTCTGGTCTAAATTTTCTTTTCGTATACTTAGACGACATTCTTATCGCTAGTAAAACTGAAGATGAACACCGTTCATTTAACATTATTGTTTGAAATTAAGCGAATTCGGCATCAACATCAAAATGTCTTTATGGAGTTTTTTCTTTAGACTTCTTCACAAGATTTCTTCCTTCACAATCAAGAATTAAAGCAATTAATGATTTTCCACAACCTGAAAATTTAAAAGTGCTGCAAAGATTTTTAGGTATGATTAACTATTATCACAGATTAGTTTCAAAATTTTTAGATATTCTTCGACCTCTTTATGATTTGGCAAATTCTCTTAGAAATTGGTCGAAAGACTAAATCGAATCGTTTACTACAGCAAAAGAACTTTTGTGACAATCAGTAATTTCAGCTCATCCATCTAGAAAATCATTAACTATAGATGCTTCTAATACTGCCATGGGAGCAGTACTCTCTCAAACAATGGATGACAATACCGTTCCTATAGCGTTCTTCTCTAAAATATTTTCTACCGCTCAAACGAAATACTCTACTTACGATCGTGAACTTCTAGCAATATTTTCAGCAATAAAATATTTCAAACATTTTCTTTACGGTAATCGTTTTATCATTTATACCGCCCATAAACATTTGATAAATTCTGTTCGTTCCAGTTCAGAAAAATCTCCTCGTTAATCTCGCTATTTTAGACTACATTACTTAATTTACATCAGAGATTAAATATATTAAAGGAGATTTCAATATTGTTGTTGATACCCTTTCAAGAATAAATATTGAATCCTTTTCGAATTCTTATCCTTCTGCTGAAACTATTCAAAATGCACAGAGCAACGATGAAGAATTAAATCACCTTCTTAAGAAACAATTTTCTAATAAAACATCTTTTCAATTATCTTTTAAAAAGGTTTCCAACTGCAAATAACGGGTGTTTTTTTAAGCCCGATAGAACTTTAAATTGAAAAAAGTAACACAAAAAATTAAATGTTAAACCAAAAAATTTTTTTGATCGAAAGATCAATTCATGGCATTTAACATTTAAAAATGATTTTGGGCATATGGGCACCGCGGCTTTTCTTGACGAAGCGCATTCTGGAAGTCCAATTTTGCGCCACTTTTTCGAGCATTGCTGGCCGTATGTCACGAATAACACGAACAATGTTGGTTTTGGTTTATTGTTGGTTTATCAGCAACCAAGGAAATAATCGAGAGGTGTCAAATCGCACCACCTTGGAGGCCAATTGGCATATCCATTTCTCGAAATCAACTTATCGCCAAATTTTGATTTCAATAAGTCAATGGTTGCGGTCGCTGTATGGCACGTAGCGCCGTCCTGTTGAAACCACATCTCGCCCGGATCAATATCATCCATATTTTCAAACAAAAAATCATTGATCATGGTGAGGTGACGATCTCCATTGACTGTAACGCGAGTTCCGACTTTATTTTTGAAGAAATAAGGTCCAATGATGCCACCAGCGTGCAAACCACACCAAACGGTGCATTTTTCTGGATGTAATGGAGTCTGTAGGGTCTGTTGTGGATTGGTTTCACTCCATATGCGGACCGTTAAGCCAAAAATGAGCTTAAATGAGCTAAAATGAGCCCCCTCTTCGCTGAGCACAATTTTGCGATAAAACATCGGATCAGTTTCTAACTGCTTTAGAGTCCAATCGGCGAAAGAACGACGCATATGATGGTCTCGTGGTTTTAATTCCTGCACCAGCTGGATCTTAAACGGGTGTAGGCCAAGATCTTTGGGCAAAATTTTTCACTTAGTGGACGGAGAGAGCCCTAATTCCTGCGACCGACGATGAATCGATAAATTTGAATCTTCTTCCACGCATTCGTTTACAGCGGCGATATTCTCTTCAGCACGCACATTTCTTCGATCATTTCTTCTTTGATTTTATTGCATCGATGCGAAACTTCTTTTGATGAATCACGATACTATATATACCTAAAAAATTAAGAAAAATTATATTGACCAATTTCACAATATTTCTCATCCTGGTTTTGGTTCAACCCTTTACAGCTTAAAACCCCGTTTCTATTTGCCTCACATGGCCAGAAATGTGAATGTATAGACAAAAACTTGGCTACAGTACAACGTGCAAAAGTTAAAATATACCAAATCCTTCTCTTCACAAAATTCCTGTTCCGAAAGGCAGATTTGAACACATTCACCTAGATTTAGTAGACCCTCGAGTACCTTGCCTAGTTTGGCCTGCAGTTTATCTTGTCAAAGACACTACTTTTACTATCGCTCACACGCTTCTACGCAACTATCTTTCGAGATTTGGTATCCCTCACACTGCAACACATGATGAGGAAAGGCAACCAAATTCGAAATTTCTCTTACTAGCCCCAAGGTCATGTTATGTTGAAGAGATTTCATAGAACTCTCAAAACAGCCATTACTGTCCGCGGAGCTGGTAACAGATGAAATAACGATCTGCCCATTATTCTTTTAGGACTTTGGTGTTCTCTAAAAGAAGATATTGGTTGCTCTTCTACAAAGCTATTATATGACTAGCCGCTTAAACTACCAGGCGAATTTTTTATGGATTCACATTCCACGGCAGAAATTAAACCACTCCTTTCTAGTTTAAGCCAAACCTTTTTTTCTCTAAAACCTATTCCATCATCCTTTCATTCAAAAAGATTTATTTAATTCTAATTACATTTTTCTGAAAATTGAAGGTTCGAAATATAGACTTAGAAGTAAATACGAAGGACCTTATAAAGTTATTAAAAAATTTCCAATAATCTTTAATATTCGTCATAACAATATCAAATTTTCAGTAAATATTGACCTTTTGAAGCCTGCCTTCATATTAAATAACAATTTAAGAAGTGGCACTATTACTAACGATATAGCCAAAAAGAGGCGTGTTCATTTTAATTTCAATAAATGTTCTTTTTCATAGAAAGGGGGAATAGTTGTCCGGAGCATTTTCATTGCTATTAGTGTATTCTATTATCAAATTACCTTTTAATATTTCTAAGATATTTGTTACCATGTTTATAAAAAACAATTAGTAATATTATTAATTTCTATTTTAATAGCAAAACAATAAATAAGTGGTATGCGTACCACACCGGGTATTTATTTTCAAGGTAAAATTCCCTGGATATATACTCGCGGGTATTTACCCAAGATGGGTATTTAGAGGTATTTATAAAATTTAAAAACAGTACAAATACCACTAAAAAAATAAACAATTTTAATTTAAAAATAAAAGTTTTATTTTAATAAAAAGCATTAATAATGGTATTTATACAAAAACTTATACAAATAAAACAATAATCGCTAAATAATATAAAGTTTTAATCATAATAACTTGATCTAATCTAAATTACAATGGGCGGAAGGACTTTGGTCGATAACCCTTTTTAGACTTAATATTTTGTTGTTGAATGTACATTATGTTTATGTTATATATTGCTTTTAATTGTCTAAAATAAATCCATTGTCTCTCTCTAAATTACAACATAGTCCTGTGATGATAAATACGTCTTCGATCGTTGACAATTCCTCGTCTTCAACGTCCATTATCTTACTCTTCATTTTTTTCCAAATCTGTTATATTTTTACTTGTATCATCACTTTTATACATACGGTTTGGGTATTTACCTTGAACCGGGGTAAATACCTTCCCGCCGGGTATTTACCCAACGCATGAAACTAAGTAAAAGGATTTAAGGTTTGTATGTGCAGGTATAGTTATACACTCTAATCCAGCGTTTCTTAAACTGTTCCACGGAACTCTGGGTTCCGCGAAAACACTCAAGGGTTCCGTGAATCGTACGTGATACTTTTTACATAACATCAGGTTCAACGTCTAGCTGTTTTAAAAAACATAGTGATGAAAACAATGACACCGATACAAATCAAATCGCCCCAAAAGAAAATAAGCCAGTTATAAATGCTTCTACAAATATATCAACTTATCAAATAGCTCAACGCGGTGAAGCCTACTCAATTGCAGAAAATCTAATAAAACCTTGCGATATGGAGATGGTAAAATGTATGTTAGATGAAAAATGAGCAGAAGAAATAGGTAAGAGTCAGAAGTTTAATCATCAGAAGTTTAGCAACC